TGTGCAACCCTAGTACACGCAACTACTTCTGATTTGTGGTCAAGCAGAACATCTGAGCCTTGCTTAAGTTTGACAGCGCACTCACAGAGGTCTATTTATTTGTTTTGTCATAGGTCAATTCTAGAGACTATTTGTTAGACCTTTACAAGGTGATTTTTTTTTTTTGCCTTATGTCTGTTTTAGAGACATGTTACAGATCTTTGATAAAGATCTAATTATTTTGCTTTTGGACATATGTTAGAGATTTACACTGTAAATCATCAGTGTGTGTCAAAATCATGATTAAAATCGAAATTGTTTGTTCAAGAAAATCGTGATGGGTTTCTTTTGCCCATATCGCACAGCCCTAGATCAATAGCGATGTATTTTATTTAATTTTTTAACTGATTGAACTGATTTCTCTTAAGATTTTTCACCACAGCTTTAACAAACGTATTACTGCACCAGTGTTCAGTATCTTTTGTTTGCTACATCAATCAATTCCAAATATTTGCATCATATGAAAGACTACTGATATACAAAGATGGTTCACTAGTGTTACTTGAAAATGTGAAGATATGAAACATTCAGTACGGCCGCTACATCGCAGGAAGTCCAACCTTCCAGTTGAAATAGCCAATCATCAGTTTTTATAGCCACATGGTTCTGTGAAAAGGCGTGTGTACAGAATCGCTTGTCTTTAACGGCATCCCTGTGGTTTGGCGACTGCTTCGTGGCTGCATTCATTTTGACAGGAGAACAAACATCACTGCGCATCCAATCACATATTGTGTCCTTCCAGGGTCCTCTTCCAGTCTTTGCTCAGGTTTTTTCTCTATCCTTAAAGAAGTGTTTCTAACAACATCCTTTGGTTTCCATTAAAACAGCCATAAAAGAGTTTGGTGGCATGAGCAGTAGCTGGAGCAAGCTAAATATTATGTGTTTTAACGTAATTAGGGCTTAAGCAACAACAATAATGGAGTAGGTCAGATCAGATTTTGTTGTTGATTTGAAAAATGTAATTTAATTGAGAGTTCAGCTAGCAGTTTTTGAGATTTCAGGATTGCCTCATTCATTTAGATAGGGCGTTGGTCTTGCATGTACTGCCAGAGGGCAATGCAAATATGGCTGCAGAGCAAACAGACTTCCTTGAAAGGGACTTTGATTACATTAACTAGCAAAGTAATTGTATTTAGCCAGTTATTTGTTAGAATTATTCATTTAAATGTGTAAAAAATAATGTTAATATTTTATACTTGCAATGCTCCAAAACCTTTTGTAATTGCATCCCATAAGCTGCATACATTTCTCTTTGTCACAAGGAGTAAGCAACTATCATTTTGAGTGAAGCATTGACTCGTTTAAGCCTGAACTGGTAACCTTAATTTAATATCCACGCTTTAGTCGATTACATAAAGTGAATGTATTCTGGAATGCAGCCTATGCTCTTTGAATACATTATTAATGAGTAATTTGTGTCTGGTTTTTCAAGATAGTCCACATGCGGCCTGCGCCAAGTTCTAGAGCCATTTAACATCGAAGAGGAACTTTAGACCTCATTAATGTCAAACTGTATTGATTTCCACTGCACTCGTTGCCGAATGATTGCTAGTGTCAAGAAAATCCAATCAACGCAGTCACAAGAATGAAAACGAATGGCCTTCTGACTCCAAAATATCCACCGTAAATCTTCCAGACAGGAGTGTGCACGGACACACTGCCAAGTTCTTGCACACGCTTTCTCCACCAGACCAGGATGCTGTGGCAGTAATTAAACACCTAGATTGCCTACTGCTTCATCACACCCAGCCAATCACTCGCTCTGGTCATGAGTTTTCTCTGTACGCTGTTCCAGATCTGTCAATGACCACATAAATCCAAGACTTAACGCAACACTGATCTCGAATCAACATAGGAAAATTAACTTCTTCTGATTTACAACTATGATTATGCCTTATGAAATGGGATATATGCAAGTATTTTCATGCATTAATCACTTTTTATTATTGCCAATATGAGAAGAGCTTAACAAAACTTAAAAACCAGAAAGTTCCCCAGCTTTCAAGGTTATCTAAAAATATGTACATTTAATTTATGTGAAGAACTCAAACAAACATTTTTTTTTCTGTGAAAATCAAAAGGAGGTGATATTTACAGCACTCTGTTATGCTTGACTATGAAATATGAAAGGAAAGGTTATATCAGGGGTGGGGTAAATAAACTTCTACTGATTTAAAACTCTGTTGGCTTATGAAATAGGATACTTGTATACAATTTTCATCCATTAATCATTTTTTTATTGATTGACAATATGAGAAGAGCTTAACGAAACTTAAAAACAAGGAAGTTCCCCAGCTTTCAAGGTTATCTAAAAAATCGTACATTTAATTTATGTGAAAAACCAAAACATTTTGCATTTTTAAAAATGAAAAGGGGGTGATATTTACAGTGCCCTGTTATGCTCAACTATGAAATCTGAAAGGACTGGTTATAATAAAGGTGGAGGTAAATATCGATACAGATAGAGATATTTTTGTGGCATTACTATATTGATAAATGCATGCCAAACTGATATGCCAGCAATATTTTATAATCCCATTTAGTTAAACATTAAATTCGACTTCTTTACATTACTTACCCGAGTCACTTTTAGCATGCATTAGTTAAACTAAAGATACCAGCATAGTGTAGATGCACACAACATTTATATTACAGCTTTCTTTTAATTGTTGCTCAGTTTGTTTGCTTGAAAAACCCTTTTTACACAACAGAAATGACATTTTAATGATGAACAGAGAAATGTTTGTTTAGTTAAAATAGATGTTGCCAAAATTTCCCATTAGGGACATCAGTTAATTGATATATTGCAATATAAAAATCGCATTACATTTAAAATTGCAATAATATTATAATATGACAATAATAAGTATTCTTAGGGCTGAGCAATTGGGCCTAAAATTAAAATCTCGATTAATTGAACATTTTAACTCAATTATGAATAATGAACAATTCTTTTATTTATTACATTTTTTTTTTTGCTCTCTCTGCACCATTCACACTAGTCAACACTACCAAGCCGACCAATCACAGAGCTTGCCCTATGTGTCATCGCGACGCGAAGTTACATTTTTTGAGGTGTTAGCATAGGCATTAATCATGGCGAGAAGTATGCGATTACGTGAAGGCTGCGCCAGACCATGTGCTATGCTCGACACAGAAATGTAAACAAAGCGGGGTCATGTGACTTCACACCCCTTAGGGAAAGTAATTGAAAAAAAATTGACCTGGAAAAATTTGATTGATTATAGGTTCTGAATGTCAATTTCGATTACTTTTCGAATAATCGCCCAGCCCTAAGTATCCTCATAATATTATGAGCCGACCAATCACAGAGCTTATGCATCATCGCGACATGTAGTTACATTTTTTAGTACTGATTTCCAGCCAATCAATCAGGGCATCTCTGATATTAACTTACCTTAATGTCATATTTGTTTTTCAAGTTTTTACATCTAATCAAAAACTTTTTCGTGAAAATTAAGGCATCAACTCACATTAAGTCTCGTTTGTTTGTTACATGTGCATGCATGACCAATAATTTTACTGGCTGTGGTTCAACTAACCGCCACTTTCATTAGCTATGTTTCAATCCACTTATTTTTATGTGCATAAAAGAATGGTTGATGGAAACACCAAGATGCACATAACTTCTGAAAAAGGGCCAAAAAAAACGTATGCGCATAACAGAGTAGGATAAACTTATCATGCAATTAGAAAAGATGCACAGAAACTATGATGCAAACACTTTTACCCAATAAATTCCAGTATGTGCATTAAAAAAAGTCATGCGATTTTGTAATAAGAGATCAAATGATGACATTGAAAAAGAACTTATGTTGGAGCAGTAATCACAATACTGTGAAAACATTTCTATCCGAGGTTATCATACCGTCAGAATCTTCTACCAGCCCATATTCCATACACAAACCTGTCATATAACTTTATATATCTTTATCTTTACCTATCCACAGTCACTTCTCCCCCTTCATTTCCATTGTTTACTTTAAAATAACCTCTCCACTGTTGCTCCACACCATAAAGTCAGTCATACTGGTTTGGAGAAACATTAGAGAGAGTAAACAATGACAGCATTTTCATTTTTGTATGAATAAAGTATTTGATTCAGGCAGAAAATCTACAGCTAAAAGCCACCATGGTTGGTTTAGTGAACAATCTCATTCCTTTAATATGCAAAAGAGGAAATTCTATGATTTCTGCAACTCTTTGAGGAGATTTACAAAGAAGTTTAGCTGCATTTCAACTGATGACTGGTTTTAGTCAATGTTGACTAAGCATTAACACAGACCAGTGTTTCCCAAGATGTCAAGCCACACGCTTGAACAAACTGAGCATGTTTGTCAGTTAGTGAGACTTCAGGAAAACCGGCAGGACAACTGCTTTTAAACAAACCACCGATCAAACAATAATCAGATCTACAACATTAGTCTAGACGACTGAAAAAGAGCCTCTGTAGAGTGTGTGAATGCATGCATACAGCCACTTGGAATACTAAATGAGGAACAGAGTTTCTGGACATCTCTTTGTTAGAGCAAAAGAGGAAGTGCTGATGGTCTCTTTGATGGAAGCAAAACAAAAGATGATGCATATGCATGTCAACTGAAACATACTGAACATGAGTCCATGTTAGCAAAGAAATTATGCCTAATAAAGGAACTGTACTCATAATGAAACAGTGATGGGTGGGAATGGTTAACAGGGAGGGGCTCAAACCCCAAAACAACAGTGAACCCCTTTCTAGCCACATCATATGAGAGACAAAAGCTGTTTGTCAGATGTAGTGTGTTGCTGATGCTGATCTTGTAACTAATGGCAACAACAGCATCAATACAACCAACTCCATCAGTAGGAGGAAAGTGGAGGCGGCTGAAATGGTGTGCTGTGGAAAACCGATAAACAACTGAGGCTGTCTGTGAAGGTTTTAACACAGAAATACAACTTACCACCATCCCTATCTCCAGCTTCGGCGGGAGGGACCAGCAGGGCTCCGTGTTTGGACCAGGATGCGTTCCTAAAGTTCCTTCCCACATCAACGCTTTTCCTTACATCCTGGTTTTATTTCCCAGATAGCGGGTTAATAATCTGACTCAAACAGACGCCGAAGATTGAGCGCCGTAAGAGCAGAGAACCCCAATAAACAGCCGAAAGAGGAAGAGGAGGAGGAAGATAGATCCAGCGCGTCCTCAAACAACTCCAGAAATACCACGCAGAGGCATATTGTCGCTAATATGACATCCGAAAACAATTCACCCAGGCAGGAGACTCAAATCAAGCAATTTCCCCGGAACAGCGGCATCGTCTCCGCGTGTTCTGCTCTCCCGCCCATCTCAGCTCTATGCTCGCTGGGAGAACTGAGGGGTTCTTTGCTGCTCCGAAAACAATCTCGTGGGTGGACTTTCTTTTACCTAAACGTATCTGAAGATAGTTTTACAAGTGTATTAAGGAGTTATGAAATGTTTAGAAGTGAATATAGGTATTAACTTTCGTTTGATGTGATAACTGCGATTGACTGCGATAAACTAAGTTTAATTTTAGGAGGGATAAGCAAGCTGATCTCCCTCTTTTCCAGAATGGAGTGTTCCACCCGAGGTGGCCCGTTGGACAAAAGGAAGACTGGAGCGCGCCGCTGTTCAATGGGCGGGGGCGCGCAGTCGTCATCCAGTAGAATTAACAAAATAACGAAGCCAGGAAAGTAACTTAACATAGATTTGCGATTATAGGTATATATTAGACATAAATAATCAAATTATGTCAAAGGGAGATATCAGTTTTTTTAAAGTACGTCACGGATATGCAAAACGGTGGCACAGCGCTATCGTATGATATTATTAAGATCATCTCAAGCAGCTACCTGGTAGTTTTTAAAAAAACCCTGAACTTAAATATAATACCAGTACCATAGTGATATATGAAATATTATATAATACATTATGAATACCATCATATATAAGCATAAGAACACTTTAATTGTTGACCAGACCACAATGTTATTGTTGAACAGCCTATCCCATTATCAGAGTAAGCAAATGTGGAGCTTGCATAGTTATCTGTAAACCAACTCAACATGAATTAGTGAAAAGAGAAACTAACCACTGATGAGATGTTAAGATGAACACTGATACAACTTATAAACATGTTTTTTTAAGACCATGGCATCTAAACACAACCACACATCAATAAACTTGCAATGAAGAGCTAAAAACTCACATGTGACTCTTCGCTGCATTTTCTCCTGGTGTTGATGTGTGTATTCTCTCAGTTGTTTGTCAGACAGGTTGATGTTGATACACGAGCCATTTCTGCTTTTTTTCACAGCCGCTTTAGGAAATGAGTCTTTTAGAATCTCATGCAAGTGGGCGTGTGGTGAGAGAGAAAAAACCTTTTGGTTTGCAACCATCAGTAAACATGAGAGCTTATACTTCACAATTAATAAACTGCTGACTATTTGCAGTGTTAATATTAGGGCCACACAGAATCTGTGGACATTTTTTGCCATTTCTGCTAAAAATTTTGGAAATAAAATCCTCCAGATATATGCAGGATGATTTTTTTGGAGTATAACTAAAAACTTAGTATATTAAATAAAAGTAATACCTTTTTAATCTTTATTTAATGTTTACAATGCAAATCAAATTATCCAGTAAACAAAGCAAGTCTCTCATATATATATATATATATATATATATATATATATATATATATATATATATATATATATATATATATATATATATATATATAAAGCCAGAAAATATTACTTTACAAACTATTGTCAATAAATCATAAACATTTTCATCTTAGTCATTAATATTACTGATAAATTAATTTAAATACTGAATAAATCTAAATGTAAACAAATTTAGATAGATATTGTAAATAAATAGACTCAATGATATGGAGTCAATCTAGAGCCATATACCATACATACCTGCAAATTAACAGAAAGCTTAGCAAATAAAAAATACAGTACTGAGTAAAAAAATAAGTAAATAAATGCAAATCTCTAAAAATCACAAAGCAAAACAAAATTTTTGAGAAATAAAAAAATAATTTTGCTAACAATAATAAAAAACTGCAAAGAGAAAATAAGTTTTGAGAAATAAAAATTACAGAACAGAACTCCAAATAAAAAGAGCAAAAAAAAAAAACCCTAAATATTTTCAATTAAAAAAAAACCTATATATATTTGCAAAACATTTTCATAGCATTGCCTTTACAAAACCAGTCCATTCAATTGCAGTGCTCGTTTTGATTTGCTTTTTAGTCAACCGTGAGCTTGCGATGCTGTTTTCACTTTGCACCTCACATTTCTGAGTGTTTCACTTTGTGGCCGATTTGATAAGGGGTGGAGGCAAGGGAACTTGGGCGTTATGGCAGACTCAGACCTTTAAGCGTAGTCATCACCTGGAGACACAGTATCACCGAGGTTGTCTCACAGCCCAGCATAGATAGATACACTAGATATCACATACAGACCCTGAGCATGTGTCAATAGCGCCTCCACATTTGTGCAGTGCTCCCAGGACAAATGTCATTCAACCGCACTAGTCAAGACTAAAGCCAATGTGAAGATGCTGGACTTCAGCGCAGTGTACGAGTGTAGTAACAAGCAAACAAAGAAAACAAAGCACACAGGCAGAACATTTCATAGGTAAGATTTCGATTTTTATGTTTTTGTATGTTGTTACATCCCTTGGATGTATTTATTTATTATTTATTTGTGTGTTCACTGTCCATTGGGAGTGGTTATGTTGTGTGTTTCTTTTACTTTCACGGTGTCTCTCTGCCTGCTCACTAGGTAGAGCTGATTGGGCCCAGGTGGTGCTCATCAATGGAGCGTGCTGCAGTAATGCGCTGCTACAAAAGAGCAGTGCGTCTCAAACTACAGGGAGGTTCACTTCTCCCCTGCTCCAGACTCGTGATTGTTGTGGGTGTTGATCTGGTTGTTTGTAAAAAGGAGTTAATGGGCTAGTGAGTTCAATTTTAGTTTCTGTGTTTTGAGAAACTTGCTTGTTTCTGCGTTGTGTGATTTTTACAGGCAGTGTGTCTGTTTTCTGAGTTGTTATTTAAATACAGATATTCTTTTGTGTGTAGTACGTAAAAGGTAATTGTATTGTTTCTTTGTTTGACTTTTTGATATAAAAATTGAAGCTGTAGGGAGAGGGTGCCATTTTTATTTTTGAAATTGTTTGACTGTGTTTATTGATAGTAAGGGAGTTGAGGAAAGCCTGTGTTGTTTCTTTTCTTTTACCTGAAATTAGGTTATTTAGTACTCCTCCTGAGCTAGACCTGTTTTGTTTGTTGTTTTGGTTAATCCTTCTCCTGAGATTTATGCTTCATTTATTGTTTATTGATTTAAGAACCAAATAATAAAATAATTTAAGTTTACTCTTGTGGTTGTTTCACATTTCTGAGGCAGGATTGAAGTGTTCCCTCAAAATTTGATTATTTATTTAATTTATACACAATTCATTAATTTGGACTTCTTTTTTTTCTCAAATTCTAAATTTAAATTTTCTTTGTTATTTTCCTTCCCTAACCCTAGACCAAAAAGGGGAAGGGACGTAACAATGTTAAGAACTTTTGTGCTCCACAAGTGTTGATGATAATACAGTTTCTTACTGCACAGATCATAAAGAAAGTAGCACCAACTCACACTTGACACCAGGCTTATGCTAGTTTTGTTGAATAAAATAAGCAAACCATGTATATGAAATATGACAACAAGACGCTGCGGTGCCAGAAACTTGTATTATTGTCGCCTAAGTGAACGAGTCGTTCAGATTGGAGATTCATTCACAAACGAATCGCTCCCAACGTTAGCATTAGAAGTGAACGCAAGAGACGGATTACATCAAATTTAATAGGGAGGGGATAATACATTTCCATGCACATGTAACGGAGGCCAGCTAGTGAAGTGCATTGCATGTAAAACCTCACTCCTCTGACCTCTAAAGGTGCCATAGGCAGCTATGGTCTTTAACCTCCTTGGTAGAGCAACCGACTGCCATGCGGAAGGTTTCCAGTTCGATTCCAGCTCAAAACTGGTTGAGTGGCGTAGGACTGGCGGCGTTACACACACAAATAAATGCTCTTTGTCAGCAATACCCTTGCGGTCACATATCCATCGATCTAGAAAAGTGATGTAAAATTATAATTTAAATAAATATTTGCATACTGACCTCCAGGAAAACTCCCAATCATAGATTTATGTATATATGTGTGTATATTTCTGGCTCTGGATGGCCACAGTCCTCCACTGCAGCTTGGTCAAAGGAGTGCTACCCTGTACTAAAATGGCAGCTCTATTGACGCATTCCCTCCAATTGACACCAATAGCATAGGCAACATCTAATGTAAATAACTATGAGAGCCCAGTAGGTCGGGGCCTGCCAAAAACATCCAAGTTCCTTTGACTCTCTTTTATTTTGTAAGTATATAAGGCCCTAGATTGACTCCATAGAACACCAGGAGTCAAATCCAGTTCCTGGAGGGCTGCAGCTCTGCACAGTTTAGCTTTAACCCCAATTAAAAACATCTGATTAAACTATTCGAGTCCTACAAGATTGTTTGAAACCTACAGGTAAGTGTGTTTAATTAGGGTTGGAACTAAACTGTGCAGAGCTGCAGCCCTCCAGGAACTGAATTTGACACCTGTGCTAGAATGATGGGACAAAAATCTGCGCAGATTTTGTGTGGGCCTAATTATGAGTAATATTAACTTTAATTTACAAGAGGGTTAAAACAACATTTGCAATTCAGAAATTTTAGCATTTTAGGAAGCCACCTGGTGGTTGTTATCAGAATTAATGTTTGGGCATTCAATGTTCTGAATTAAAACCTAAAGAAAATCCTCAGTTTATTGGAAATATTAGCATTTTTACAGATATTACTCGAAACAGCCACCTTGTATTGAAGCAAAGACAATCACCTTCCTTAACGACTACATCTTGAAAAACAAAACTAACATATTCGATATACAAACCACATTTCATAGGTATAAAACTCTCTCCTGAAGCTTTCTGGACAAGTGACAGAATTTATACTATTTAACAGAGGGCCAGAATTCAGTGCGTGATAATACATCTACAACTAAATGTCGATTTATTAGTAACGAGGGCCAAATAGGAAGGTGATGCTTGTTTATTTGCAACTAATACAAGTGTTTTACTGACTCCTCCATTATAATCGTCCTGGTTGACACACACACACACAAATCGAGTCCACAGTTTAAGTACAGATGGATTATCTCAGTCCCAACTTCTTCTTCTCCTTCTGTTTCTTACGCACCACCTCCAGATTGCGATCCTTCCATGTACTCTTTCTCAGCTTGATGGGTCTGCTGCCCACATACCTCCCTGAAGCCAAAAACAAGAGAGTGTATGTGTTTAGATGGAGCATGATGGCCTTTAAAAAATATAAAAATAAACAAATAAAAAGCCATTTCCATTTCAGATGCTCTGAACACATCTTATACTCGAGTTATGGGTCTTATTAATAATTAATAAAAATAGAAATAAATAATCTTTTAAAGAATTGAAAATGGGTTTATTAAAGCGAATGATGTGTTTGCTTGGTTGTTTAATATTGTCTTAATTTATTGTCAAAAATAAATAAACATGATAAATAAATACACTAAATAAACAGTTGAAGAAATAATTATTAGAAAAGTAAATCATTTTTCAAATATTTTCCCCGTGCGATTAATTGAAATAGCTTTGAAGTTGCGATTTGGACATGCACGAAATCGTCTGACAGCATGATGTTCCCACAATATGCTATTTGAACCGTTGTGCGCGCGAAGTGAAGAGTGGGAAAATGGCGGGGGGGAGGCGGTTGGTTGTTTGGGGCTGGGGGGGGTGTGCGCTAAGTGAAGAGCGTGGGGAGGTGCCAGTGAACTGAAGGGCGGGGAGCGAGTATGAAGATGGTTGCGCGTTGGGTTCGGTGCGCATGGGGACTGAACCAAATAGCTAGCCGGACTATCCCAAAAACTTGGAATTCCGGGAGTTTTCCAGGAGAACGAACAAAACGGGAGATGGGTCTGAAATACGGGAGACTCCAGGGAAAAACGAGAGTGTTTATACTGAATAGCCTGCATGCGATTGATGAGTCCAGCACAGGAGCACTTGGTGCCAAAAAAAGTCAACATATGTGGTGTGGGATTACTTTGGATACAGGAAGGCTGATGTATCACAGAACCAGGTCATTTGTAAGACCTGTCAGTCACATATCGGATATAAAAGTGAGTGGAAAGTGCGAGCGCATCACTTCCTTTAGCGTTTTGCGCTCGAGCTCCTTTGCCGTTTGTCGGACCTTCAACCATTTTTTTCAGAGGATGACAAACTGAAATAGCATTGCAGTTTGAGTGTCCTTTGTATGTCTGAGGTAATTAATCTACCGAAATGTGTGTATTCTATACAGAGTATGAAGCTGAAGCTGTATGAAGTATGTGGCATTCTGAAAAGTTCAAAATTAAATTGGTCTGAAAAGGGATGTTTTCAAATAGGTGTGCCTGGAAAACGTGGATGCAAGCTGCACGCCTCCATTATTAATAGCGAACTTGTGCACGCAAAAGATGCAATGTGTGAACGGCCTCCTTACAAGCAGCTTCACAAAGAGGTCTATGACCTATGCATGGCAAAAAAAATCTGTGGACAAGTAAAAAAAAAAAAAAAAAAAAAAAAAAAGTACACGCAACTACTGACATGTGGTCAAGAAGAACATCAGTGCCTTACTTGAGTTTGACGACGACGCACGCACATTGTTCAAGAAAATGGTGATGGGTTTCTTTTGCCCATATCGCACAGCCCTATTTAACAATGTTGATAACAACGTTTAAAGAGTTTTTCAACACACATTTAAACATAATCATTTTAAATAACTAACTTTTAATAACTAAGTACTTAAGTCTTTGCCATAATGACAGTGCATGATATTTTATATAAAAAAATATTTTGCAAATAATACTAATTCACTTACCTTCGGATTAGTAAGCTAATAATATTTGACGTGAAAAAATATCTTTAAAAAACATATTACACTTTTATTTACAAAAGAACAATATAATAGAGAACACTGTGAAACTTCTCTTATGCTTACAACAGCATGATCAAAAAGGGTAACTATAAAATATCATCACACTTTTCAAAATCTGCAATATATTTCGATGCATTTTAAATATCACATTTTGTGATATCAAAGCTGTCATTACTCTAGTCTTCAGCATGACATGACCCTTTATCAAAACATTTATGCAGCTTAATGTATATATTTTTTGACAAACTTAAAATTGTTAAAAGTGATAGTAATAGATAATGATAGATAATAAAGTAATGATAGTAATAGATAATAAGAAATAAAAAATGTGAAAATATTTTCACAAGCACTTTTGATGACTTTAATGTGCTGAATAAATGCATTACTTCAAATATAAAATGCAGAAAAAGTGAAATATTTATAATGTAAAATGTATATTTTGTTTGTTTCTGATAATGTAAAAATCTTCATTAACTCACCGTTCATTTCTCTCATGGCGCGCACATAATCATTGGGATCTTTAAAACTGACGAAGCCGTAACCCTTCGTTTTCCCAGTGCGTTTGTCTCGAACAACCTTCGCCTTCAGGAAGGACGGATACCGGCTGAACGCTCTTGCCAGAATGTCATCATTCACCTCATTCCCCAGATCTCCACAGAATATCCGAAAATCATCTGAGATGACAGGAACAACAAAGATTATTTCAGTATATTCTAGATTATATTGCTTTACTTTGGCACACTGCTCATAACTAACCCTAGGTTAGCAATTTTTCAACAAAAGTTTCTTATAAAAGTTTCTAGTTTATATATATATATATATATATATATATATATATATATATATATATATATATATATATATATATATATATATATATATATATATATATATTGCTTAAGGGGGCTAATAATATTGACCTTAAAATTGATCAAAATAAATTAAAAACTGCTTGTATTCTAGCCAAAATAAAACAAATAAGACTTTCTCAAGAAGTAAAAACATTTTAGTACTGGAAATACTGTGCAAAATTCCTTGCTCTGTTAAACATCATTTAGGAAATATTTAATAAAGAAAAGAAAAAAATTATAAATCACAAGAGGCCTAAAAATTTTAGCTTCAACTGTACATTGAGCATTGTGCATCCACTAATAGAAAATTTTTTATTAACTGTACTTCTAAATTAAAAGTGTGAAATGTTCCAGGGTTAAGTGTAAGAAAAAAAGGTTAAAAAAAAGAGAAGATTGGTTGGTCACAGAAGAGGCACAGTTGAGGTGGCACGGTGGCTAGCACTGTCGCCTCACAGCAAGAAGGTCGCAGTTCAAGTCCCGGCTGGGTCAGTTGGCGTTTCTGTGTGAAGTTTGCATGTTCTCCCCGTGTTGGCGTGGGTTCTCTTCCGGGTGCTCCAATTTCCCCCACAGTCCAAAGACATGCAGTATGGGTGAATTGAATAAACTGATAATTGGCCATAGTGCATGTGTGTGCATGTGAGAGTGTATCCATGTACAGGGTTGCAGCTGTAAGGGCATCCGCTATGTGAAACATATGTTGGATATGTTGGCGATTTATTCTGCTGTGGCAATCCCTGATTATTAAATGGACTAAGCTGAAAAGAAAATGAATGAATGAATGAAAGAATGAATGAAAATTGGCCGTAGTGTAGGTGTGTGAATGAGTGTGTATGGATGTTTCCCAGTATTGGGTTGCAGCTGGAAGAGCATCCACTGTGTAAAATGCATGCTGGATAAGTTAGCGGTTCATTCTGCTGTGGTGACCTTTGATGAATAAAGAGACTAAGCTGAAGGAAAATGAATGAAGGTATGTATGTATGTATGGTCACACCTGTTTCCCACTCTAATAGGCTGGTGTCCTCCCATGAGACGCCGGCTGCAACACGGATGCATTTCTTCACTTTCTCCTGTTTCCCTTTCTTCTTATCTTCTGTGCTGGTATCGACAGGCTGTGCACATGTGATAGAAAAATAATTATATCAAGAGTTCTCTCGATAAAATGATAGTTCCTTATACTGTTTCGTTTACTAATTGAATTCAAAATATGAATAAATACTATGAAGAAATATTAAATATATAAAAAAAGCATTGTCTTTATCTTTTAAACCAACAGCTGCTTTTTGATGCGTCTTAAAGGTGTAAATAACAATAATAATAGTTTAAAATAAGTAAAAATGGCTGTAGGATTGGAGTGTGTATGTGTATGAGAGAGTGTATGGGTGTTTCCCAGAGATGTATAAAGTACTAGAGACCCATACTTAAGTAAAAGTACAAGTGCTTTATCAAAAAGTGACTTGAGTAGAAGTAGAAGTGCTCTTTAAGCACCATACTTAAGTGGAAGTACAAAAGTATTCAACATTTTTTGTACTTAAGTATTACAAGTAGTTTATTTCAAAATTTACTACTCAAGTACTGAAAGTAAAAGTACAAGTATTGTGTAATGTAGTTATTAAAGAAAGCAGTCAAAATACACTATTTGTTTTGTTTATTTTAAATATCGTTTTGGGGTACTTGATTAAGCAGAACGAAAAGAAACATGGCTTATCATACTGTTTTTCTCTGTAAATAGTTTCTATGGTACAAGAGCTCACATTGTCAGGCCCTTTAACCAGAAAATGCCTTCACTGATGAGATAATTCAGCATGTTCACTCCCATACATTCTCTCTCTCTCTCACACACACACACACTTAAATGTACACTCTCTCCCCACTCTCACACATTCATACACTCTCACACACACAGTTCTCTCTCTATCTCTCTCTCTCTCACACACACATTTTTGTGAATTGTGGGGACATTATATAGGTTGCAATTGTTTTTACACTCTCTCTTACACACACACACACACACACACACACACACACACACACACACACACACACACACACACACAGGTACAATCACACTGTTGTTTTCTCTCACACATTATTCACTCTCACTCACACACACACAATGACACACTCACACTTTGGGAGTTTTGAAGTTTGATTGCTTTAAAATAAAAAGCTTTAAACTAAACAAGCAAACTAAATCCTGCTTCACAAATTCACTTGATTTTTATTTTTTTGTAAAAAAACAGGAAAATGTGTATATTACTCTGTTAAATGAAAATCTGAAATATTTTGTGGCTTATGGCTATAATTTAGTAATAATTTTTATTTATTTTTATTATGTTTTTAATTAAATTGGTCTTACAGTTCATATTTTCTGTAGTATATTTATTAATTCTGGTACTTTTACCATAAACCAACATCTCAACCATTTGGTAGAGGCTGATATTTTAGAAATAATGTGATGTGTTGAATAAAAATGCACTGATTGTGTTAAATAGCGACATTAGGAGTTAAGAAATGCAATCAAAAAAAATTATATTGCTTTTGTCTTGGTGTGACAGTTAAAGGGGTTTTTGTAATAAATTTTGTCCTTTAATACAGCAGTCAGATATACGAACTGTGTCCTTAATTTGACCTGCTCAAAGAAAACACTCTTCCTGGATGTATCAAACAAAACTCATGCACAGAAGACAGCACAAGCATTTACAGCTAATAAACTCATGTCAATATTATCCCGCCTGCTTTTTGAGCGCTGACAGGCGGGTACGGCTATGATTGGTTATTGTCCTCAACAGAAAGGGCTTTAGAAATATAAGCGCTGTTCACCCATGGCGGGAAGAATACGCGATTATCACAGGTAATAGACACAGTGGAGAAAACTTGGCACGCTCATGTCTGGATCCACAGCTTTAACAGCTAAGAAGAGAGGAAAAGTTACCTTACAAACTGGCCAGCGGGTCAAATGTCCAAAGTGAGAGAGCGAGAGATAGGCAGAGGTGAAGTTTTACAACATTTCTCCCTAATAGTAAACTAGCGGCTGGTATGCTGTGCCGCCTCGCTCTCGCGCCTCCGTCCTTCGCCATAGTATTGCGACATCGCGCATAGGAGATAAATGACGTCATCACGTAAAAACCGGGTATGACCTATTACTGAACTGATATCAATCATTTTGACACCCCTAGTAACGAGTAACGATGCAGCACATAAAAAATCTATCGGAGTAAAAGTATTAAATTCATGTAAAATATGTACTTAAGTAAAAGTGGAAGTAGGAGAAAAAAATAATACTCCAGTAAAGTACAGATACTGCCTTTTAGTACTTAAGTACAGTAGTGAAGTAGTTCTACTTCGTTACTATACATCTCTGGTGTTTCCCAGTGCTTGGTTGTGGCTGGAAGGGTATCTGCCACATAAAACATATGCCAGAGTAATTGGTGGTACAAACTGCTGTGATATATCAGGAAATATGCAGAAGAAAAATAAAATAATAATGAATATCAAACCTCCACATGTACAGGCTCAGGCTCCGGCATGCTTGGCCCGATCACACTATCATCGCTGGCCGTTTCCTTCTTGGATTCCAGCAGCCCAGCGGCCAAGACAGCAGCCTGCTGTTCTGCCACCAGTGCTGACAACTGCTCCTGTGAAGAAGTGCACATTCAGATGATCACAGGGTGTCCGGGGGGTCTTAAAAAGTAAAAGCTGACAAATCAATATAGATAAATTTAAGTCTTCAATGCTATTTTAAAGGTATTAAATTTTATATAGTTTTTGATTATACAATATGTAATTGTATGCTAATGTTTGCCTTAATTTAACTTGCAAATATCCGGATGCTGTGTAGTTTATGAAATCAATAAAATCCTGCTAGATTTGACATCACACTACTTTGCTTACTTTAGGAATCAAAGCAACAACGTAGGCGCCCCCTGCTGGATTAACATTTGTATTGAGTATATTAATAATGTTTCTGTTTAGTGCAGGTATCACCAATCTCGTTCCTGGAGGTCCGGAGTCTTTCAGATTTTAGCCCCAACCCAAATCAAGCACGACTGAACAAGCTAATCAAGGTCTTACTAGGTATACTTGAAACACACAGGCAGGTGTGTTGAGGCAAGTTGGAGCTAAACCATGCAGGGCACCGGACCTCCAGGAACGAGACGGGTGACCCCTGGTTTAGGGTTAGTTTTTTACAATCAGTATTTAATAAATATACTGCAAGTACAATGTCGTCAATGTTACCGGTTAAATACTAATGAGGAGATGAGGTGTTAAAATGTATAGAAAGAGTCTTGAAAGGCATTGAATTCCACTCTCTGATTTCTCTATATACACCCTGGATCACGAAAGCACTGCAATGGAAGAACAAGCAACTTGCAATTTCATAAAGACTCACACTAGTTTTTTTTGTTTTTTTATTTGATAATTTTTTTTAAATGTTTTTTTTTTTTATTCAATTTAATGCATGCATGAAAATCAAATTAATTAAAAATGGCCAGCCATTCTGAAGTTTTCCATGAGTTGCACGGGCACTAATCAAGTTGAAAGTGGAACTTTAAGAAAGAGAGAGAGTTTTGTATTTATTGCCATATCAACTTCTCTAGAAATTTGATTTAGTTTTGCCATGAAATAGCCAAAGGTTTATAAATATCACTTTTCTATAATTAAAAAAAAAAAAAAAAAAAATATATATATATATATATATATATATATATATATATATATATATATATATATATATATATATATATATATATATATATATATATATATATATATATATATATATATATATATATATATATATATATATATATATATATATATATATATATATATATATATATATATATATATATATATATATATAACAATGGCGGTTTATTCTGCTGTGGCGACCCCTAATTAATAAAGGGGCTAAGCAGAAAAGAAAATGAATGAATGAATACATTATATATATATATATATATATATATATATATATATATATTAAGGGTGGAGCCGAACCCGAATACGGTATTCGGAAAGGCACGAATAGCGTGTTTTTACGAATACTTGATTCGAACAAATACTTGAAAAATTATTTGTATTCGGGAGCAAGAAAAACACTATATCAAAAAGCAGCGTTTCCTCATGAAACCACAGTGTATGCCCGCGTGAGTGAGTGAGTGAGTGAGTGAGTGAGAGAGAGAGAGAGAGAGAGAGAGAGAGAGAGAGAGAGAGAGAGAGAGAGTGAGTGAGAGAGAGAGAGAGAGAGAGACAGACACACACACGCTCAGTGCAAAACGCGTCAAAGCCCGAAACTGAAAGCGAGACGTGACTTTTAAGTGGTTGTTTCATATGGATTTATTAATCATTCTTACTGTTAAGTGATCGCAAACTGCCGTAGTTTATTAAAGACGCAAACCCCTTACTGCACGTCAGCTGCGCGCCTTCAGCAGACCTCCTCATTCCTGCAGCACGAGAGCTTTATGATTGTTTATGCGCGCCAAAAGTGGCGGATCTGTCCGGTGAAATATCTGACTGCGTGTCACCGCATCCCTAAGGACTGTTTGGCGAAATATTTGACTGCATGTCACTGCATAACAAACGACTGAAAGGATATAACTAGAGAACTCTCCACTGTGCTACTGGGGGAGAGCGTATGGCAAGCTGTTTTAGCATTTAAACCTTGTTCAGACTATCCATAAATATATTTAGAGATATCTCTAATTATATTTTGACTTGTCATAATTATAATTCGACTAGTCAGATTGGAAATATCTGCAAATATATTATGACTGACTAGTCATATTCCTCCATTGACTTCCATTGAAAAATATTTGCAGATATCTCTAAATAAACAAACAAACAAACTTTGTGTCTGTTTTGTGGCTGCCAGATGACAATAGCAGGGCTGTATCTTTTAGTATTATATAGAATACTTTTGTTCTGCCAGATCTCCCAGGCAGGGTTTTATTTAGATTTATTTAGTTAATGTCTATTCAGTTTCAAGAACGGTGGTGGTGGGGTTCATAATATTCACAATGGTATTTTATTAGTTGTTGGTTTAACCATGGATGAGATAATGGCTTCTATGTTATTATCTTTTCAATGACATTTCTTATCACATGTTCAAAAACAACAGCCAATATTGCATATCTATAATTTATATAATGGGTATAATTAAACAATACTTTCACTATAACGTAAATTAGAAGTGTAATAGAAAAAATATATATTTTTGCGGCATTTTGAATTTTACTCGAATACAAATACAAATACAAATACTTTTCCCCCCTCAACAAATACAAATACAAATACCAGCTGCTCCGCACATCCCTAATATATATATATATATATATATATATATATATATATATATATATATATATATATTGGGAGTGTAACGGTTCACAAAAATCATAGTTCGCTTCGATACGAAACAGTGGTGTCATGGTTCGGTATGTTTTCGACACAGCAAAAAAAAAAAGGAAAAAAAGCTAGAGGATTTCTCTGATTTATTTTTTTAAATGTATTAAAACAAACATTACAAAAGTATGATCTTGTTTTTTTCTTTTACTTATAAACAGTGATAGAGCTATACTTCTGGGGTTTTTGCTTGGCAGCAAATAAAACAAATCCTTCTTTATACTCAAAACCAAAAAGCTGCTTATAAAAAAAATTAATATTGTAGTAGTTAAACAAATAAAAAGAAAAAAATCTATTTAGTTTGTATATGGAACTCAGTTTCAGTCTATTTTTAAGTAATTTTTTATTTTCAGAAAGATGAGTGTCCACCTTTTCTTCAGACAGCACAGATCTGCTTGGTTTGACTGTCACCTGCCATTTCAGTGGATCTGAAAGCAGGAATGATCTGACTGAAATGGGCCTATGAAGGAAAAATGTAACGGGGCTCTATTACATTTAACATTTTCTTAAAACCTGACATTTTCACAACATATATATATATATATATATATATATATATATATATATATATATATATATATATATATATATATATACATATATATATGGGGAATTTTCTTCTTTTAGTAAATGTTCATGAGCCTCGTAATTCTTGTGTAAACAATCTCATTATGTCTTTAGTTAAATTTTTTTTTTTTAAAATCATTTTTTTTCCTACTACTGGCTGCACTTCACAAAGTTTGAAATTTAATAAAGAATGGAGGTCCTTTTATTGAGTAATTTCATGTTTTTATATGTTTTATTTTTTTAAAAACATTTTTGTTGGCAAAACACAAACAAACTGACATTAAAATAATTTTTAAAAAGCAGTTAAGGCACATCTGGGAATTCTGTATTTATAGCAGGATGATGTATAGGAATTAATTGTAGGACAAAATAGGGTTTACATATTTCATAGAATGCAGCTGATATAATAAATAAAGGTGAATATAATGTGTAACATGTAACATTGTGTAACATGTAGTTTAAATGTAACATGTATTTTAACATGTATTTTAAATGTTAGGTTCATGTTGAGTGCTAATGGGGAACCAAATAATTAAACTAACTAAATAAACTAAAAAAACTAAATATATATATATATATATATATATATATAGACAATATAGTGAAAAAAAAGTAACTCACTCAAATTAAACTGAAATTTAAAAAGTATGCTTATATAATGAAATATTTACACTCTTATTATAACACTACATGCTGAACGAATGTGTGATATTACTAATCATTTTAACATAAAAGCTGAACACAATTTTATAACTAATTAAATTCTTAATCTAGCTGTATTCTAATAGGCTTTATCACACAGTAAATGTTTTTGTCATTGCATATTCATTGTATGGTCGTGATTTATTATTCGTCAAAGAAAAATTAAGTTTTGAGATTTTTTTATTGATGATATTGCATAAAAAAATAACAGCATCTGCTACAATCTAATTCTATTTAGCTTAATGAAACAGGACACCGAAGTGTGCTGTTAACTTACCATGCGTGCTTGTTTCTGGCTCTTGAGGTCGATTCTCTTTGAGACAGGAGGTGCTGTGTAAACGGTGGGGGCCGCCTGGATAACACTGGGTGTGATCTTCGCAGGGGCTTGAGTCATAGATCGCGGTGGCCCTAAAGCCATAGGGTTCATACCTCCAACCTGCCAATGATGAAAAACATTTATAACGCGGACTTTAAAGCGAAGAAATCGACGGCTGAATATAATTTAAAAGATACACACTGGTGGCATTGGTCCCATAGGGGGTCCAACTGGAGCCATAGGGGGCTGAGGGGGCCCCACCACAGGTGGAGCCATCATTGAAGGTGGAGGAGGCGGTGGTCTGGGAAGCGGAGGTGCTATCATGCCATGAGGAGGTGGACCACGCATCATCGGCATTCTGTGACCTCCAGCTGTAAAAAAAAAAAGAAAGAAATAAATGGATTTTTTAAGAGCCGCTATTATGGGGTTTTTGAAAAGGAGCTTTCATGCAGTGTGCAACACAGCTCTAAGCGAATGGAAACATCCAGCTGAGGTTTAAATCTGAAAGTGCACCATGTTTAAAAATATAGATTTTTTAATAAAAGATTAAACTCGGAGTCGTTTAAATAATTCAGCGATTGTTTGGATCTTTTGCCTGTTTATATCTACGTCGTCACAAAACAATACCAAACATAAAGGCTACGTTCACACTGCGAGGCTTAGTGCTCAAATCTGATTTTTTTCTCAGATCTGATTTTTTTTGCATGGCTGTTACCACTGCTCTTAAAAATGTGGCCAATTTCAGATTTGCAGTGTCAACAGATCCTGGTCCTAAACTGACCCGCATGGGCAAAAGTGCATTACGAAGAGCACAAAATGTCTAATTATCCACGCACGTGTGTGCTGCATGAGTAATCACGTTGTCAATGTCAGATCATGCTTATATGATTATTACCCTTTTCACAGACAACTGTGCTGTAATTCATCAACTGTAAATGATTGTTCTGCTACAACTACTGTGTATTTCGGCATTTGAGACCTAAAATAAGTCTCCTGTGATAAAAAAACACGGATCGTTTGTGATTTATGATAAGCGCGGTGCGTGGCGCTTTGACCACCGTTGTAGTGAACTCCTCAAGGGTTAATGAGCAGCCGCAGACTGAGCTGTGAAGGCGGAGTTGGTTTATCTCCGTTTGTGGAGTTATTTAATTTTACTTCGTTATAAACAGCAGACATGTGCAGATGGGGGGTTTGGGTGCTCGAGCAGATCCCCCACAGATCACCTATCCGCAACACCCAAGACGCTTTTCGGCTTCACGATCTACCAGAGCCTCAATCGTTAACTTGATTAGTTAACAAGCATCAGTTATGCCTTCAAAATCTTTTTCAACTTGAACATCCAACTTTCTGTGGTACAGTACTCGCCCTGTGTGCTGTTCTACTGTGCTGCTGAGGGGTAGATGATGTCTGCAGCACAGAATGATGACGCATGTCACTCAAAGATTGCGTAAAAGTCACATGAAATCCGACATAACCGTTCACACTCCGGTCACATTGCAAAACATCAGATCTGTGTCTGATTTAAGACTACATACGAAAGTGGCACAGATCTGACCTGAAAAATCATATTCCATGCGGTTTGGGCTGTTCACACTGTCATCACCTGAGTCACATGAGGGGGAAAAAATCCGATTCGGGACACATTTGCCTGCAGTGTGAAAGTAAGTGCCGGTGTTCTGGTTATCTGTGCTACCTCCTCAGAATGTACTACCGGTAGCTTAATCTGTCATATTTCTCCAAAAAAAAAAAAAAAAAAAAAAAACAGGCTTAGCACATCTTGTCAGCTTCAAATGTCTATCAGACTGAATTACCACATTAAATAAGGATGTAAAAACAATGTCAGCTTCAAATATCTATCGAAATTAACTACTACTCTATTGACCAATGAAGAAAAGGGCATAGCAGCTTCAAATGTCTATCAGAGTAAACTACTGCCCTCATTTTTTTTCATTAGTTTTATATTTAATTTGTTTATTAGAGTGGTAGTTCATTCCGATTGACATTTGAAGCTCACAAAATGCACTACCCCTGTTTTTACACCCTTCTTTAAGGAGGTAGTTCATTCTGATAGACATTTGAAGCTCACAATATGTGCTAACCCTGTTTTTTAGATGAAATATGACAGATTAAGCTACCGGGAGCACATTCTGAGGAGGTAGCACAGATCACCAGAACACCGGATCTGGTAAAACATGAACGTGCCTTTCTGTTCAAACACTAACGTGTGTGGGACTGATCATGACTGAAGATGAGTGAACATAATAAGTGAACATTCTGGTGATTAATGCAATAATCTACCCTGCAACGGAGGATTCGTCAGACATTTGTTAAAGAAAGCATCAGAAAAGACTATTAATATATGGGACTTTAAAGCTTGACAGGAACTTTATCAGTTCACAGTTCATGGACCAGTTTCCTCCTCCATTTTACAAGTGGAAGTGAGTGCGATTAAAATGGCTGCCTCTTTGTCTTCTCTAGCTTGCAAATTATGTATTTAATTGTGTTTTGTTACTTGTAATCGCTCCACACGACTTGTACTGTATCTGGTTAACTCTTAATATTCTCATATTGCATCTAAAACCACATTGAAAACGCGACTGCATTAAAAACCGCTTTCTTTACGGATTTAAATGCGTTTGTAATTAGGTAAATAATTAGCTAAATATAAATGCATATTATAAGACAATGACATTGTTTTGTAGGAAACCCCCCAAAAACAAAATATGACCCTTTTTAATGCCTAATAGGGGCTCTTTTAAGCATGTTTATTATGGCGTTGCATGTGTTGGATGATTGCTTTTGTATTTTTTTGCACGATTAATTCCTGATCCTTTGCATAATGTTTTGATAAGTTTTAATGTGCTAAAATATTTGTTAAAGGAATTTCATTTTTTTTTTTAAATTAAAGCATTTATGCATGTTAAAACTGTAAAACAGAATAAAATGTGTAGGTCTAATAGATCGCAAATAAAGAAAATCACTTATCTATAAATTCATTATTCAATGCATAAAGTAGCTTGTTTAAAAAGCCTATTTAATTGATCTGGAACTTTTAAGATTTTTTTTCTTGTAAATAATAAAAATTGCATCAGTAATGTGTCTCCTTTGACAATTTTTCATCCGATTGAAGAAAGTGAATCTGAATAGCCACGTGAACATAATACACTATTATTTTATTTTTACATTAGAATCAATACTGGGAATCAATGAGAATCAAAATTCTCACTATCCCCAACCCTACTTTTTATATTAAGTGCTCTACAATGTTCTGTAAAATAAATAAATAAAGCACAATTTATATATTTTTTAAATACAGGTCATAGTGGAGACGTCTCATTTGGTGTCTGAATTAAATTAAATAAACAAATAATTAAATGATGTTAAAAAATTTTTACAGAAGCATTTGACCTTACATGAGTGTGTTTTAATACTAAAACAGATGGTTATTAATTGTTTTGTTGAATCTGAAGTTCGATTTGTGGTCTGTGTGCTGCAAGCTTATTTAGTGGCAAGGAATTTTATGATTAAAGGGTATTTATTTTCTCGTTGTAGGCGAGGAAATGGGATTATTTTTATTTTGCATTGTTTCCATACAGCCCTGTGGTCACCTTTGGTTTATTAACATTAAATAAATTCAACATTAAACATTAAAATAACTCTTGTGGGAACAAAATGTCAAAATATAGCTTAATAAAGTTAATTAATTAGGCTCAACAGATATATTTATGTAAGAAAAGAAATGCATGCCTATTCTGATCTTTTAAGATACATATAAAAGAATAAGTGATTACATTTTAAACTTTTATTATATTTCTAATTATTTTAAAACTCTTTGCTGGATTAAAGAAAAAAGATTTAAATATACTAATAAATTCAGTATACTGGTAAACTTGTGGTGAATAAAACTTTTAGACAAATACTAAAACACATCTTACAAAGTTCTACTCCTGATTACCTGGCCTCTGTAAGACATGCGGGACAAATGCAGGCCGCAGAACTGGAGGAGGTGGTACTGCTGGTATAGCTGTCGATAAATATCAAATCATTGTTAGTCGATTTCCACATGGGAATGTTTAAAAGTGTAAATACTGAAAAATGTTTTACCAGGACAAACAAATGTGGGTGGTGGACCAACTAAAGTTGCAGCTCTTGCCTCCAAACTCTGCTGGACCTTTTGGGAAACAAACAAACAAAAAAAATCAATGACCAACTAATAATATGAAAAATAGATTAATTAATTTAACAAAAAGTATAACTTAGAATGCATAAATGTCTTAAATATAGTCTGTAAATAACATGCATGCCCTTTTTTGAAAACAGCAAAATAAACATGATGCAGTGCTCAGCATATTTGAGTACACTCCATTTTGAAAAGGAATTTTTTCATCCATTTCTCAGTGAATATAGGCAATGTATTTGGTGCATTTAAATAAAACATTTATTAAACATATATTTATTAAAATTATATTTTAGTCACCAAACATATTTAGAAATTAAAAGATAATACAATAAAATTCAAGCAAAATATAGCAAAAAAAAAAAAACTACAATCTACAAAATTTCAACTAAATTTCTCTAAAAAAATGTTTTTATGCTTTTCTAATTTTTTTCTCTTTTTTAAATTTGTATTTTAATATTTTTCTGTAACATTTACATTTGGCTGTACTAGTTTTTGGACTATTATTGTAAGGCATTTTGTTAGATAAACTCCAGATTTCTCTTCAGTACTGTCTAATCCAGGGGTCTCAAACTCGCGGCCCGCGGGCCATTTGCGGCCCTCAGTGCAATATTTTGTGGCCCGCGCCGACCGCTGTACACTGACAGAATCAGCGGAGCGGGGAGAGAGAGCGTTCCCCGCTCCGCTGATTCTTTCCGTACACAGCGCGCTTGTCACTCAATGCGCGTTGTCGCGCACGTACTCAAGAGCGGTGTTATCACGCGCCTACTGAAGGGCGGGACCAAGGGTGTGTCGCGTCGCGGGGGCATTTTTGATCATTTTGGAGGCGCACTTTCTATGCAAGACTAAAAAGGGCATGTGCTCTGCACAGGTTGAGCCCTATGTGTGCACGTGCCTGAGATTGTGTTGATATTATAGGTAGATACAGACTGGTACAGACTGATGTGACTGGAGTGGGGTGGGGGTGTTTTATTTATACATATATACGCCTTTTTTTTAGGTGAGGGAATGGAAGTTTTGAGTGAGTTCCCCCACTTTTTTCCCTAGGACTTCAATAAGTCAAAGTACAGGTCTAGACTAATGATGATCATCTTCAAGCCATACTGAGGGTCTCAACTGCTTCCGCTCTAAAGCCAAATGTGGTGAAGATTTGTGAGAAGAAGCGCTGTCAAGTCTCTGGCAGCAAGGAGTAGGCAAAAGATGCCATGTTCAGAAGAACTGTTCATAATCTTCACTCAATGTTCTATTAATGTTCAGGACACTTCATGTTCAGAAGAAAAAATTTAAAACTGTTAATAATGACATTTGAGGACTTTTTTTTGTGAAATCCCTTATGCGGCCCAGCCACACCCAGACTTTGCCTCCTGCGGCCCCCAGGTAAATTGAGTTTGAGACCCCTGGACTAATCTAATGTATGTGCACAAATATATTATTGTATAGCTTCCTATTTATAAAATGAATTTAAAAGATAGATTTTTAAAGGGGTGTAATCATATATGCTGATCCCTGTAGATACACAAGAAAATGTAGAAAAAAATATTATTAGTAGTAATTAATTGGTTAAAAATATAAATATATACAGCTGAAGTCAGAATTATTAGCCCCCCTTTGATTTTTTTTCTCTTTAAATAAATTATGTTCAACAAATCAGGGAAATTTGCACAGTATGTCTGATAATGTTTTTTCTTCTGGAAAAAGTCTTGTTTTTTTTATTTTGGCTAGAATAAAAGCAGTTTTTAATTTTTCATGAACCATTTTAAGGTTGAAATTATTAGCCCCTTTAAGCTTTTTTTTTTTCGACGGTCTACAGAACAAACCATCGTTATATAATAACTTGCCTAATTATCCTAACCTGCCTAGTTAACCTAGTTAAGCCTTTAAATGTCACTTTAAGCTGTATAGAAGTGTCTTGAAAAATATCTAGTCAAATATTTTTTACTGTCATCATGGCAAAGATAAAATAAATCAGTTATTAGAAATTAGTTATTAAAACTATTATGTTTAGAAATGTGTTGAAAAAAAAAATCTTTTCTCCGTCAAACAGAAATTGAGGAAAAAAAATAAACAGGGGGGCTAATAATTCTGACTCCAACTGTATGTATGTATGTATATATGTATATAACCATTTGTTAATAAATCAACTTGTGACACCAAAATAAATTATACATTTTTAAATCCTTTCCACAAGTAGTACTAGACTTTTAAAGCCAGCATATAGAAATACACCATGTGAAATATTGGTTATGTAAAATAGTTGTAATGAATACCTCTCGATAGGTGTTTGTGCCAATGATGGGCCTGACCATGGGTAAAGTTGGCATTGCTAGAGCAACCGGCACTGCTTCAACCACAGTAGGTGCCACAGGTCCACCCAACACCTCCTGCTCGAAGCTACAAAACAAGGAAAATAAGTAGAAAAATACAGTCTGGAAATGTTATACTATATTCCGAAACTATCCCGACTGAAAGCATCATTTACACCACATTTAATCTGCTGGAACTAACGTTACACATGAATGCAATGTCAAGAACTCACAGTGCCATCTCTGCCTCCATCTCCTTCAGGCGCTCCTCTCCTGATTTTAATGCCATGCTGAGTGTTTTCTGAACAGAAATAAAATGACAAATACATGAAGTCTCTGTAAACATATCAAGGAACTGCTGTTTTAAATGTTAAATACATCAACGAATGGTTGAGTATTGAACAAATATAACTATTTTTATGGTATATTTTGTCTTAACAGCACTTTTTATGCACAAAATAAAGCAGAATCTTACGATATTTACCTTTTAAAATGTGAATATTAACCCAAACCAAAACATGCTGCACACCTTGTAAGTATGCACTAAGTAGACACTTAACTACGTTTTGAGACAAAACCAATGTATCTGTAGCATAACACATCAATAAAAAACTGATTTTTAAAATCTGTAATTAACCAAATCCTGTTTTATTCGATTAATTATTAGTAAAACACTGGGAAATGATGTTAATAAGGAACATGATTCAGTTTTTACGCTCCGGGCTGCATTAAACCTTATCTAAAGCGCCCAAAACACTAAGTGATCAATAACTATATACATACCCGCAGAGAAATCCGTCCAGATGAAGAAATTCAACTATATATGTGGGGGAATAAAATTATTTGACAAATAAGCGAATCTGGATCATTTGTTTTCTTCAACGATACCGCTCGTATAGTATGGACGCAGAACAATTACGTCACATGCGTCATTTGACCCGTCCTCGACGCATCGCGCAGAAAAATGACATCAGGACCCTAAACTTCCTTGCACTTGCTTAAAATATTGAGAAAAATATATAAATAAATAAATAAATAAATAAATGAAAAAAAAATAATAAAATAAAATATTGAGGAAAAGATTGTGAAGCTAAACATTATTTAGAAAGATTTCCCTGTAGGTCTTATATTAGAAATTAAATAAATAAACAAACAAATTCTTACATTTAGTTTTTTGATACAACTGATTGAGAGTAGATTTATTTAGAGGTAGAAATGTGCATGCAGTGCAGTAAATAAAATATACTTACATAAAATGTATATAAAATGCACTTAGAAATAAGCAATTATTTTATATATGCAGTGGCTCAGTAGTGCTGTCGCCTCACAGCAAGAAGGTCGCTGGTTCAAGCCTCGGCTGGGACAGTTGGCGGTTCTGTGTAGAGTTTGCATGTTCTCCCTGCTTTCATATGGGTTTCCTCTGGGTGCTCCGGTTTACCCCAAAGACATGCGGTACAGGTAAGCTAAACTGTCTGTAGAGTATGAGGGTGAATGAATGTGCATGGATGTTTCCCAGAGATAGGTTGCGGCTGTAAGGGCATCCGCTGCGTTGGTGGTTCATTCCGCTGTGGCGACCCCAGATTTTAAAGGACCAAGCCCTTATGAATGGGAAAATGCTCTGTGGACTGACAAGGCAATAGTTGAACTTTTTGGATGTTATGGGTCTTAATATGTGGCAAAATCATAACACCGCATTTCTCAGTGTTTACCTCATTAGCACAACTGTTTCCTCCAGCGAAATGAAATGAAAGTTTCGCTATTTTTATTTCAAAATGAACTACCAATATAAAACAGCTTACAGTTTGTGTGGCATGAACTATACCATACACACACACACACACACATACATATATAAAAAAATATATATGTCAATTTATTTATATATATATATATATATATATATATATATATATATATATATATATATATATATATATATATATAAATTGACATTAACTTTTTTTCTCAACACCACACTAATCATTTTCACAAGACAAAATTTTGTTGTTGGAAACTGTACTCAAATTTGTCTATATCTGCTGTATTCAACCTAAAACCTACAGTAGGTTGATATAAAACCAAAACAATACCCATTCTTGTCTTAGGACATTTTATTAAGCACATTTTTGAATAACAGCAAGTTTATGACATGTTAAATATATAGTAAAATTGCTGGTTTTAAACATACAGAATAATAATAAATACAGTTATGCAACTATAACATTATCATTATATATTTATGACATATTTGATTAACTTTTTATTACCTACACCAAGTGTTGACTAATGAAGGTACATTTTTAACTATTTATTTGTTAGACTACTGTATTGTCAAACCATGTTGCGTAAGAATGCATTCAACAGACTTATATGACAGTGTATTGCTGTAGAAGACAAATACAACACGAGACAGGTGTTTAGAAAAAGCATAGTTTATTTTGTTTGACATGCAAACTTATCTAAACAAGATGAACTTTAATATAACCCGCGGTTGTCAACTGTTGTCCTTCTTTGCTCAACAACTCAGCTGAAAATCAAAGCAAAACATTACAACACTCAGACATAGAGCAAAGAGCATAGAATCACCAAGAGGCGACACTCTAGTCTAGAACAATTTGGGAAAGACACTAGATGGTGCGGCGGCCGTTTTATCAACACTGTCAACACTTTTAATAGTAAGTGTTGTATTGTCGTCTCTCAGCTTTAACGCGCTTTTTGAATAGATTAATTGAAAACAAAGCAGCTGTTTGCCATCGCGACAGCAAACGGCCGATCGCTTCCACTTCAAAATGGCGGCATCCGGGGCTGTTGCTGACCTCTTGGTCATTCTAAGCTCTTTGCATAAAGTTAAATCATCACAGTTACCATGGTTTCTATTTCAAACTATAGTAAACTAAAGTTTGAAACTATAGTCTAAAATAGACGATGAGTGGGCCTCGCTGCTCCAACCCACCATAACCCTCACAGCGAGGTCCCACTACCAACTCCCTTGTTTCCCTGAGGGTCCTCAGGGCTTGTTTGATCCCTGCCTAGGGCGTGGCTCCACTTGTACCGTCGGTATTGAACTCACCTTGGTCAAGTACAAACAGCAACACCGAGCGAACTGACAACGCTGAGAACCGACGAGCTTTATAGGAATGCAGATGCAAATTTTTACAAGACACGTCACTGCTGTCTCGTTGTCATGGTGAGCGCTGAAGAGGGCTCACCCCATTGGAGCACACAGACTCGCGAATCTGCGTCACGGCGACTTGCGGTCTGCTGTGGACAAAAACATATTAAATATATTAAATGTGTATTTTTACATTTTTGGTGCGGTGTAATTATCGGGGATGCAGTAGAATATGGAGACAGATGAATATAATTGGGTATATGCCCAGCTAGTGTTGTTTCCATACTTTTAAACTTCCGGTGACCTGTTAATGTGAGTTTTTTTTCCCATTTTATAGGGTCCCTTTTACAGCATCGATGTTGTAATTTAATTAAAATACATTCAGTTAAATAAATTTGGCATTTAGTTGTTCAAGCGTAAAATTAGAAAAAAGGCCTTTTACTCGCACTCGCCCGTCAGAATCGGCAGGCTGGCACAGAAGCACCATTGAATGGGGTAAAATAAACACTCATATTATGGGGAAAAATGTATTTTAACGCAGTACTTCTTGTACAATCTGAGACCCATTTTATATCAGATATCACTGAGCCAGTGGAGATCTTTTTTTTTTTTTTTTTAGAAAACAAACATTAAACGCGCAGATTTTCACCGAGCGCTTAACCCATATTACTGGCAAATTAAAAGTCCTATTAGCACGCTTCGGCATATTGGACAATAGCGTCGCTACAGGTAGTGACGCTACAAGCTTAACTACATTTCTCAGTAATGTGGCTGTAGCGTCGCTACTTTCTAAATCAAATAGCTTTTCAGTAGCGAAGCTATTTTATTAGTCAAGTAGTGCAGTAGCGTCCACACAAGCTACATTTACCGATCGCGAATCAATAAGTGACGGCACCGACATTCACAGAGCTGTGGCCGGTGTCTAGGCGAATAAAGTAAATCCATATGATAGAGAGAAAGATGATTTCTTCTTCGTCCTGTTTTACGGTGTTCGACAACAAACTTTTTGGTGCGTTACTGCCACCTCTGGTGAAACTTGCTTGATGGAAAGATGACTGAGGGACAGGAGCTATTTCTGAAGCAGGATTCCTTGTGATACCTCGAGAAGTACATGTTAAGATGCAATAACTTAATTTTTGATGCTGTGCTCAAAAAATAAAAATACTTTAGTATATATAACACTATAATGCTTATATATAATGCTTATATATTTGTTTTAGCTGTTATATACTGTAATGTGTTTCTGTTTAGTACAGCATATTATTTACAGTAAATAATTGAACTGAATCATTATGCCACATATGTTTCATTGACAGTTTTATTGATCAATAAGATTTGATTGACTTGGATTTAAGTTGCTTCGATGTAAAATTAAAAATTGTAAAAATAGCTTGGATGTAGCTAAGCTACTTTTGCCATGTAGCTTTTAGCTTAGCTTGCTACATTTCCCAGGGGGTAGCTTTAGTGTAGTTAAGCTACATTTTAAGTAGAGCAGCTAATAGCTTAGCTCACTACACATTTGTCAAGTAGCTTTACCAACACTGCCATACAGTCTTGCACAGAAAGGATTAAACACGGTGACAGAACCACTAAGAGAATGTACTCGTTATAACTGTCACTAAGTCACTGTCAGAGATAGAAACATTAAAAAATACTTCTTATTTATTATTATCATTCAGATCGTGAAATATGTGAATTTGGCTATAAGTTTAAAAAATGTATATATCTATATGTGTGTCATTTAATTAGAAAAGTGGCAGTTTATTTATTTAGTACATGGAAACAAAAATGCACTTGAATATAGAAAGTGGTTTTACTACAGTAAATATATGGGTATTTGGCTTATTCAGAGCTCAAATGGCTGTGCCTGTCTATGTAAGACAGTGGAATACTAGTATGCAACCCATATTAAACACATTTTTAAGTGTATTACTATTAAATTACTACTCATAAATGTAAAATTAGGCTTTCAACACAATCTCACGGCAATTCGTAACTTTTGATTTAGTGGCTAATGCGTATGAATTCGTACAATCTAATTTGTACAATTTAGTACAACTTGCTCATCCCCCAATGACAGTTGGGTTTAGGGGTGAGGTTAGATGCCACGCCTTCTTTTTAAAATCGTAAAATTTCTTACGACTAAACTCATATGAATTCGTACGAATTAGCCACTAAACTGGCAAAACGTAAAATACTTACGTTTTCTTGTTAGATCAGGCTGTAGTTTATTTATATAACTTTTTTTTTAGCTTATAGGGAGCTGAGCCCCCCTAAAATGAAAATCCTAAAATCGCCCCTGATGTCCAGCCATCTTTAGTGACCTCACGTTGAAGCGAACTTGGGTTCTGCGACAATACATTGATCCAAAGCACACCAGGAAGTCCACTTATGAATGGCGCCAGAAAAACAAAATGAAGTCTTTGGAGAGGCCTAGTCAAAGTCCTGACCTGAATCCAATTGAGATGCAGTGGCATGACCTTAAAAAGGTGGTTAATGCTTGAAAACTCCTTCAATGTGCTAGAATTACAGCAATTCGGCAAGGATGAGTGAGCAAAAAACCCTCCACAGTTATGTAATAGACTCATTGCAAGTTCTTGAAAATACTTGATTGCAGTTGCTAAGGGCGGCCCTACCAGCTATTAGATTTAAGCAAGCAAGCACTTTTTCACACAGGGATATGTACTTTGTTTTCCCATAATAATAAAAACCTTCATTTATAAACAGCATGATAATTTTATTATTATAAATTCATCACAATTATAAATTCATTTAAAAAAAAAAAAAGTAATAAAGTCAGTCAAAACCTTATTATAACCTTATACAAAACCATTATAATCACACTGCACCTAAATAATCTTTTAATAAAAATAATGAAAATAATAATAATAATAATAATGAAAATATAAATAATTTATTTCCACAAAAATGGGTTTTTTATGATTTTGTGGTTAAAAATACATAGTTTTTATGTTTTATATAAAAATTTGTATGAGGGCGTCACAGTGGTGCAGTGGGTTGCACGATTGCCTTACAGCAAGAAGGTCACTGGTTTGAGCCTCAGCTGGGTCAGTTCTGTGTGGAGTTTGCATGTTCCCGTGTTGGCTTCGGTTTCCCCCTAAAGTCCAAAGATGTGGTATAGGTGAACTGAACAAGCTAAATTGGCTGTTGTGTATGAGTGTAAATTCAAGTGTATGGGTGTTTCTCAGTGTTGGGTTGTGGCTAGAAGGGCATCCGCTGTGTAAAACATGTGCAGGATAAGTTTGCCGTTCATTCCACTGTGTTCATTCCCTGATTAATAAAAAAAAACTAAGCCGAAAAATGAATGAATGAATTTTGGATCATTTATCTTTTTAACACCTTTATTACTCAGATAATGAAATTAATAAATTAATTAAAATATTTGATGACAAGGGGGTGAGTAAATTAGCATAAATTTAACTAGATTAACTAGTGAAAAAAAGCTTTTTTAGACAGCAGAGGGCGCTATAGACTAGCATTGCGACTTGAATCTGAACTCCACAGAAATGGCAGTCACAAAACGTTCAACAGAACCTTCATTTTACTCATTCAAGTGAGTCAAGTCTTATAAAAACAGCAGTATGTCATGTTTGTTTGCCTTTTTAGATTCACTGTGTGTGGAAAACCAGTGTTGTTCTTTTACAGAAGAGTTATTTGCATGATGCCCCTATTTCCATTTTTAAAGAGAAGGAACTGCTGGACAAAACTGACTAAGAATAAATATGCAGTAATTGACCACCATCAGCCATTACTGCGTCATCTCAGATCAGCTGCCATTTCCTGTTTAAGTTCCTCGTTCAAGTTGCAGTTTAAGTGGGAAAAATCATCAACAGAAACTGATTTCACTGAAGAAACAATATCTTTATGTCTGCCATGCTTTAAATGCAACATAGGCTATTATCGTCTTGCCATAAAGTGAAGAAATAAGGTAACAAGCACAGATTTAGGGAAGTTTTCCCCAGGATGGAACAAGGATATCCGTTTATTGATGCAATAAGTATTTTCTGAATGGTCTTTATATTCTTGTGGGGCAATACTGAAGTGTACTGATAAGTCTAAAAGAGACAAGTGTGTTTTCTACTGAAGGGACAGCATGATTTACATGATCATATTCCTGCAAGGGCTTCTATCAGGTGAGTTTTGCTTTCATTACGTTATTGTATTTAGTTAGTTTTTTATAATGATGTTGATGTTCAAATTAGGTTTACCTCTCTATAAAAATATCAAACAATTATATTTAATAATAAAATAGTAAAGTTAATGAGTATATATATATATATATATATATATATATATATATATATATATATATATATATAAATAAACAATACATTTAAATCATTAAACCTTATACAATTAAAACATACAATTAAACAGACATAATCTGTATATCCTGCAGTTTGCGTTTTGACAAGCTCTGAAGCAGAGATGCCCAAATTAGGGTCCGTGGACCAAAGTTGGCCCATAGTAACCTGTGATTTGGTGCACCATCCTATCTGAGAAGTGAGGAAGAATGATAAGGATGGTTTAGAGATTGTCACTTCAAACCTAATGTAACCGTTTGTCTGTTTGTTTTATTGCTAGAAGTTAACTGAAATGAAATGGTGTAATTTATCAGATTTAGTTTAAATGTCCACACTGTCAGATCGAGGACAAATCAAGGCAGATTCTGTTTGACTAGTGAACGTCACTTTAATCTGATTGTTTATGGTTTTATTGCAATATGTTATAATTTAAATGTTATACTGCATTAATTATTACAATTTAAAGTAATGTTTTCCAATAAATTATGAAATTTCCCATGACGACTTTATTATAAGATAGTATAATTAACTTCGCCCCACGGCTCTCAATGATGTTTGGTTTTTGGCCATTTATATGAAATAGTTTTGGCGATTAATACACACTAAACATTTTATTATGTAATTTGTAACCAGTAACAGTATACAAATTGTGAGTAATTTACCTCTCCCTGGTAAAAACTACTGGACTAAACAATTTACTTTTTTGATCTGATCATCAACAGTCTAGTAGAATTGTAATTTTAAAGGTACCATATACTGCATTGATTCAATAAGTTACATCGTTCTCTGATATCTACATATTAGGTATGTGGCTTAGGTAAGTTAAAACATTATCCAGAAATGGATTTATATGCACATTATCCATACCTATTCTCTATCTCTAAACTCAACCATAACTGTAAATTATTCCTGAAATCAGAGAGGAATGTTAGTTGGATAACAATATTGTAGGAGTGCATAAACCTAACCGTAAGCCTAAACTTAACATAAACTGTAACGTATCCCTTAATTCTGATTGGCTGATCGGAATGTTGTTCCAGGATCAAAATAGATGTTAATCCAGGAGCATTTCCAACTCGGTGAAATCATCTGATGATGTAGAAAGCAGTGCGTGCAAATCTTGAAGTCATGGCTTGTGAGTCACGCAACAGTCTGCTTTGTGTTCTGATGTGCCTGTTTTTCCACTGGGGTTTTACATTTGTAGGATTTATATGAGAATAAGGAAACAATGGTGTATGAGGCTCACTGTATATATCAAGGCCATTTCCATTTACTGAACTCTTATTATTATTCGACCGTGATAGATTTTCTTCACAGTGTACCTAGACAACGAAAAGTGTTTAAGTCTGATTAACAAACGCTGTGGTGACTTAACACTAACTGTAAACTGTATTTGTGTTTCAGCTGCTGTGGCTTCATGGTCAGTTTCATATGATCCAAAAGGAATGTGTGTATTTGAAGGATCTTCGGTGGATTTCAGCTGTTTATTTGATTATCCGGATTATCTCAAACTAACAGTAACAAAATGGTTCAGACCAGGCAAAAATCAGAAACAGGATGGATCACAGCAGGGAATAACTGTCCATCACTCAAACATAGCACTGATCAGCTGGCCGTATAAAGGCAGAACAGCATACGCCAACCAAAACAAAAACTGCTCATTGCGGTTGCGAAATGTCTCCAAACGTGACATCGGAAGATATTTCTTTCGCATTGAAACAAATGATTATTATGAAAAATTCACAGGATCTGGTGGCATACAGCTGAAAGTTGCAGGTAAATAAAAGACCACATTTGTTCGATGAAGAATAAAGCAATAGCAGAATACAAACTTTGATAAACAGTTGCTGTTCATCCTTAAAAATAAAGTGTTTAGTGGAGGGCAAACTTAAAAAAGGCATTTGATAGGTAGATAGATAGATAGATAGATAGATAGATAGATAGATAGATAGATAGATAGATAGATAGATAGATAGATAGATAGATAGATAGATAGATAGATAGATAGATAGATAGATAGATAGATAGATAGATAGATAGATAGGTAGGTAAGAGGGATGCAACAATACACTTAGCTCACGGTTCAATACATACCTCGGTTTTTTAACACGGTTTTCGGTTCGGTTCTCATGGCTTGACACGTGTTTTCTTTTATTCTATAGGCAATAGGAACAGTAAGAGGTTAAGGAGAAAAAAAATAAAAACGATTTATTGCAATACTCACTTTGTTTTACTTAAAAGCCAAGAAAAGTACACTAGTTCCTAGTGTATTATATTAAAAAAAATAAAACTGAAATCTTACAGCTTCTGGTAGCCCATGTACAAACTGGGGAACACATACAATCCTACACTGAAAATAAACATAACTGTGAAGTTAATAAAGATAAATTGGCCATTTCAAATAAACATATTTGTACTTAAGTAAACATAAATAAACCATCCTAATTATCTCGGTACTGAAAAAATGCAAGACTGAAGTCTGTAACGCGGATCGAGAGCTTTTATAAGATGACACAAGCCCGCATCTCCAATCACCGAAAAAGGCTGCAAATCTTCAGCAATAAACACCCGCACTGCCTTTGTTAATTTAGGTGTCTTTCTGAACTACTTTCTATCTTTTTAAACTACTTTTGGAAATACTTTTTCTTTTTTAAAGAGCCCATATTATACATGAAATAGGGTCATATCTTGGTTGTAAGAGTCTCCAACAACAGTCTAATATGCATGCAAATTTAAAAAACACTTTCATGGTCTTATAATCTGCATTTATTTTTACCTAATTATCCCAGCGACTCCTGTATGAATCGTCCAGTGATTCATTTGTTCCCAAACCCCTCCTTAGCGCGAAGCTAATCTGCGCTGATGACAGTCTGTCACGATTGGTCGACTGCCTTCAGTCAGAGAATGAAATGCCCAATAGCTAATCAGCAATATAAAAGTAATCACAGTTCATACGCGCTCCATAGTGTAGGCGTGGATTTTAGCTGCCACACACACACACACACACACAAACACACACACACACACCTCTGGACGACAACGCTCCCGCTTCCGCCCGCACCCGCCAGGTTTTAGCCTGAACCCGACCGCTCCCGCTTATATTTAGAATTTCTTGTCCCGGTGCCCGAACCGCCCCGTTTTCTGCCCGCCGCGCCCGATCCCGCTAAAGAGCGGGGGAGAACATAACCGAAAATCACCCAGCTAAACAGTCCAGAGACAGCCAGACAGAGCTCTCTCTCTCTCTCTCTCTCTCATACGCGCGCACTAACACATACACACAAGCGCCAAGCAGACACACAGGCAGGCAAAGCTCTGTCTCATTCGCATAGCAATATCCACGATATTGCTAGAAAGCCCGCTCCCGTCCCAAATTAAACCTGTTACCGACCGCTCCCGCGATTGATTCGGAAATTTATTCCCGCGCCGCAGAAATCTGGCGCGGGGACAGCCGCGGGAATGCAGACCTCTACCACGGAGCTCCGTAAACAAACAGCATGCGTCGCGTTTTTAACGTGACTTTGCACACGATAAGAGAATATAGCCAGTTAACCTGATACAGTACACGCGGTTACAAGTAACAAATCACAACTAAATACATTTGCAAGCGAGAGTCAACGAGGCAACTTTAATCGCACGTACTTACATTTGAGAAATGGAGGAAGAAACTCATCCTGACGTCCATTAGTAAGTTACTCTTTACTGATCCTTCCTTTAACAAACGCTGATGAAGTATTCTTTGTAGCATGTAGTTTCCAGAAGTTTCCAACTGCTTGGTTATAATGCTGAGGTTTCATCTCTGGGTAGAGAATCGATAATGTCCATCTGCAGTGTGACTTCAATGACCGGCATGTTTGTGTGCGTGTGTTTGTGGGTGTGTGTGTGTGTGTGTGTGTGTGTGTGTCTGGGTTTCTGCGTCAGAGGGCGGGGCCTCAGGTTTGAAATCTCCCGGGTTTGCGCGTGCACGTGAACAACTTGGTTTCGTTCGTACGTCATGGCGAAACACCTAATGACTCTGTATCAAGGCGACTCGTTTGAAGCACTATGAGTCGACTCTTTTATAGATGAATCAACCGTTTTAAACACTGTATTCTTACAGATTTAAGCCTTAGCTGGATACTTCACTTCACTTAGAGCTGTGTTACACACTACATGGAGGGGAATTTTCAAAAACCCATAATATGGGCTCTTTAAAGTGACTTTTTTGTAATACTTTTGTAATATATAACACTGTTCAGCATGCATAATATTTTCAACACATGAGCATTGGGAAAATATGCCCAGGGATACATTTTTGAGAACTAAGAAATATGTGCTTTTGGGTATTTATGTCTGCATGTTGTGTGTGAAACGAATGCTGCGGGGCGGTACTCACCTCTGTATGAATAGGGTGTTTCTTCTTCTAGTTTGCTTTTAAAAACACTATCAGTTGGGTTTAGGCAAGGCGGTGTGTTGTCAATCGATATCAGGCTGATTTATTGTGGTGACAAGCCAACCGACTTTTCTCATGGACACACGTGATAAGATACATTAATATATGCTGAAACATATACAGCAACCTCTGGTGGATATGCAAGAAATCGCATGTATGAGAAAACGTGCCCCAGTAACCTATTTGAGGATGTCAATAATGTACATGGTGCCCTTTAGTAAATTTGTGAAAACAAAACCTGCAAAAAGACATTACCCATGGTACACATTTCTCAGTTTTTAAAAGTGTAGAATTCCAATGAGCCTGGGTTGAATATTTTTGGATGATTGAACTCCATTAATCGCCATCTTTTTGAACAGTTTTACCTCTCAGAGTAATCGTGAAAACACAAAAGGCGAGTGAACAGATTGATGAAGGAGACTCTGTGACACTGACCTGCAGCGCAGAAAACTGTACACCGACAGAAGAGTCGTTTCTCTGGTTTAAAAACCACCTTCTGCTTCCACAAGCCACTGGGAATGAGCTCAGGATCTCTTCTGTCTCGCACAGCGATGCTGGAAACTATTCATGCGGCCTGAAGAACACCAACACAACTTTATCTGCTCAAACATTACTGGACGTCAGATGTAGGTGCTAGTTTTTCTAAAAGTATACTCTATCAATCTAAAGTCAATCAATCAATCAATCAACCAACCATACTACCAATCAATCAATCAATCAATCAGGGCTGATAAAAAAAGCAAAAAAAAAGCTTTTTTCTAGGGGAATGTGATATTGTAAGAAATGTCGTTATCACAATATTCAACAACAGTATAACATTTAGCAAATTTATGTCTATGGAAAAAAGTTTTCTCAAAACAAAACTTTCTTTTAGAAATTATATTATTTATTTAAAATGTTCTTTTAAATTTCGCACGTTTTTTTCTCAAAAACAATTTTACTCTCAAACTTTGAGTTTATTCTCAAAATTGTATTACATTTATTTCTAGAAATACACAGCTTTTTTTTCAAAACACTCACAAAACACAAAACTCGCTATTCTCAAAATTTATTACGTTTTTTGTCGACATTAAAAAAATTCTTGAAATTGTCTGTTCTTCTCAAAACAACTTTATTCTCAAAATTTACTGTTTACTCTCAACATTTTATTAAAAAATATAATATTTTTTTATCAAAAATATGAGTTTATTCTCATTTTATTTAAACTTTTTTTCTAGAAATATAATTAGTTTTGACACAATGACTTTGTGCTCAAAAGTTTAATGAATTTATTCTCAACATTTTATTTAAAAAAAAACTATCCACTTTTTTTTCTCTCAAAAACAAGACGACTTTGTTTTCTAAAAGAGTTCATTCTCAATCTTTTACTTACACTTTTTTTTCTAGAAATATAATTTTTTTTTCTCAAAACTAAATTTATTCAGGAAATTTAATGAGTTGATTTTCAATTATTTATTTTTTTAAATTCTTGACATTTTTTTTCTCAAAAACACGATTTTATTCTCAAAATGTAATGAAATTATTCTTTAAATTTTATTTAAAAATAACTGTAATTCTCAAAATATGACACAATTCTCTAACTTTAATGATTTTACTCTCAACAATATATTTTAAGTTCTGTTCTCAAAAACAAAACAACTTGGCTCACAAAATATGAGTTTACTCTCAACATTTTATTTTAAAACTAATTCTTGAAATTGAACATATTTTATTCTCAAAAACAAAATGATTTCATTCTTAAAATATGAGTTTATTCTCACCATTTTCTTTTCAAGAAATATAGTTAGTTTTTTCTCAAAACACCATGACTTCATTCTTAAAATTGAACGAGTTTATTCTCAACATTTTCAGTCTTAAATTAGTTTAATCAACATTATAGTGACTTTAACATTGAGATGTTTTTTTTTTAATTATTATTATTTCTTGGCCCTAATCCTCTTCCAAACAAATTTCGCTATAACTGCAATCCCACAATTGTATGCAACGTCTCAATGCAACTGTGGCTTTACATGCAAATGTTTCATTCTTGCAAACACAGACCCTGTGGTTTCTCCACACAGATCAGCCAAAAGATGTCGAAATCAGCGTTTCATCATCTGAGGAAATACAAGAAGGAAACCCGCTGACTCTGACCTGCAAGAGCAAAGCCAATCCTGCAGTGACACACTACAGCTGGTTCAAGATCACAGACGCAAACATGTCTTCTGTAGGATCTGGCAGTGAATTAACCATTAGATCTGCCAGTCTGCAGGATGCTGGCCTTTACTTCTGCACTGCCACCAATCACATCGGCACACAGAAATCTACTGTCAAAGCACTCAAAGGTAATAGGGACTGCTTCAAAGGAAATGAAATAAGAATATTAAATAAAGATTATAATTTTTTTTTAGCTTCTGTGCCAGTTTAGCTATAGTAATACTGAATTACATTTTATTTTATATTATTCAATTTTATGCATAGTATAGTTAAGAAATTATTTTAAAAACGGCCAGATTTATTATTTCGATACTGAAGATAAAATAAAACAACATAAAATAAACAGAAATTAATTTTGGGGTATAAAAATGGTAAAACATTTTTTGCTGGACTGGACATAAAAAAATATACATTTTATAAAATAATAAATTTTTTTTTTCAATATATACAGTAATTTTAATTAGAAAAATAATCTAAAAATATAAAATATTAAATACTAGCTTTGGTCAGGATTGGAAATAAAATAAACTAAAACAAAACAAATAAAACTAAAATATTTTGCACAATACTTTACTTATTTTACTAAATAAACCGGACTGGACTGAAAATAAATAAATAAATAAATATTTGTACAATACAGACAGTAATTTCAATTAAATTTGAATTAAACAGTCTAATATTAAACACCGCAGTTTTTGCTGCGGACTGGAAATAAAAGAAAAATAAAATAAATGTTTGTACAATACAAACAATCATTTTAATAAAATTTTTTCTAAAAAATCCTAATAATAAACATTGCAGTTTTGGTCCGACTGTACTGAAAAAATAAATTAAAATAAAATATTAAATAAAATAAAATTTAATAAATATTTGTACAACGCAGTCATTTTCATTAAAAAAAAAATCTAAATAAACATAATAATAAACACTGCAGTTTTTGTGTGAACTGGACCAGAAATAAAATAAAATAAATTACATACATAAAAATAAACTAACAAATAAATAATATTAAACTGCAGTTTTGGTGCGGACTGACCTTAAATTTAAAAATAAAAAAATTTGCACAGTACCAACATAGTAATTTTAACTCATTTTTTACTAAATAACAATATTAAACACAACATCCGGGTTCATGAAATGAAATCTCTTTTTTTATATAATTTATGTAACAATTTATAACCATGACAATAATGAACTTTACACAATTATATATAAATAATACATTTAATAATATATAAATAAAATATTAATAAATGCAAAATAAAATGATTTTTGGGAATTTAAATTTAAACATTAAAATAAGGAAATAAAATATATATTATTTAAAATATACACAACATGCTTTTGTAGCCACCAATTGTGTATTGCTTTAAAAATTGCATATAAGCTACTTCAAATATAGCAATAATTTTATCCTAGTTTTTCCAAATTCAAAGCTGCGTATTGATGGATTTACTCTTCAGTGTTTGGACTTTAAGCATCGAAAATTAAACCACACAGAACTGAACTAAACTTTATTTTTTGAAAACTGGACTGACAATTTCAATGTACTAGAACCTCTATGTTAAGCAGTTTTGACAGTTTATATTGTAAAAGTGCTAGAGAAATAAAAATAAATTGAATTCCTATTTTTCTGTTTGTTTTTTAGTGGCAAGTGATCGTCATTTCTTGCTGAGCGCATCAGCGGTGTTTTTGTTTGTAATGGCTATGCTGTTGGTCCTGTTTGTGCTCTTTGTAAGGTGAGTGGATGAACAACACACAATAAAACACAGGACACACAGTTCTGAACGTGATGCATTGATTGCATTTTGTTCTTTACAAAAATGACAAATCTTCCATTGCGCAAGCTTTTGATTTCTCCATTGTCACTCGCTGCGTTCAGGTTTCAGCTTCTCTGATTACATGAATCTGTTCTTCAAACAAACATGCAATCTCTTTTTCTTTCTTTTTCTTTTTTTTTTTTGCAACGTCTTTCACCAGCAGGCTATTTTAACAAAATTATACAATTTATTGTTTCCTGATCTCTTAACTACAAGTGTGGTTTACATTTTTTATGTCTATATTTTACTTGGTAGTCGTTGTACAGTATACTTTATGTAGTCATTTTGTTTGCGTCTATATAGTTTTGGCTATTTGGTATGTTTATATTTTACTGTTTTTTTCTTTTAGATTTTATTATATATTTAATTTCAGGTTTTAGTTTTGTGGTTTATGTTTTACTTCAATTTATAAACCTGGTAAACCATCCATTTTAAGTTCAAATATACTTTAATCACTGCGTCATTTACCTCTGAGTGAAAGTCACATTATAAATGTTCAAATTTTTTACAGGAAGAAACTGTTTACGTCACAAAAGCAGACTGCAGAACAGGTATTCAATCACATTAAATACTTTATTTTACCATACTATAATGCCCCTTTTAGAGCAAAAGCTAAACCGCACTGCTTACATCTGCCTCTTTAAATGCAAATGAGCTGCTCTCTTTCCAAAAGAGGACGGAGCCTTTACAGCACATGCCTTGGATGCTCCGATTATTACTTAACAAAACATCTGCACTTGTTTTAAAGCCTAGTCCCAATGTGTAGTGAACAAAGCACACCAGTGGCCTAAATTTGTGTACACAACCTACTGATGAAATGACCTAGAGAGCTAGGGAGCTGATTTATATGAAGCATTAATAACTAACATCAAGTATTGTAACCTTAAAGTTTGACCACTGTTTTATGCTATACCTCTGATCAGATGCCTGCAGTCACTGAAGTGATTTACGAAAACCTGAGAAAAACAGAGTCTGAAACAAACACTTCAACTGTGATTTATGCAGATCTGAAGCTTCCTCCATCAAACTCAGACAGGTAATGAAGATCACATCACTACACTGATTTTGGCAGGCAAATACACTACCTGACAAAAGTCTTGCTGTCGACGCTTGTTGTAAGAGCAACAAATAATAACTTGAGTTCTAGTTGATCAATAGGAAAAGTGGCAGAAGTTCGATTTGTCTTATGAATCATCTGTTGAACTGCATCCCAATCATCACCAATACTGCAGAAGACCTACTGGAAGCCACATGGACCCAAGATTCTTATAGAAATCAGTCAAGTTTGGTGAAGGAAAAATCATGGTTTGGAGTTACATTCAGCATGATGGCATGCGAGAGATCTACAGAGTGGATAGCAACATCAACAGCCTGAGAAATCAAGACATTTGTGCTGCCCATTACATTACAAACCACAGGAGAGGGCAAATTCTTCAGCAGGATAGCGCTTCTCATACTTCAGCCTCCACATCAAAGTTCCTGAAAGCAAAGGTCAAAGTGCTCCAGGATTGGCCAGTCCAGTCACCAGACATGAACATTACTGAGCATGTCTGGGGTAAGATGGAGGAGGCACTGAAGATGAAACCAAAGAATCCTGATGAACTCTGGGAGTCCTGCAAGAATGCTTTCTTTGCCATTCCAGATGACTTTATTAATAAGTTATTTGAGTCATTGCAGAGGTGTATGGATGCAGTCCTCCAAGCTCATGGGAGTCATACACAATATTCATTCTTTTTCCACTGCAGCATGACTTTTTATTCTATACTGGACATTATTTCTGGTAAGTGACAAGACTTTTGTCTCAGCAAAGTCAGACCTTACTGTCCTAATTAAATCATTAAAAGGCATGATCATATTTTATTTTGGTTAAATAAGCGCAATCTAGAGGCCTTTGCCTTTCAAATAAACCACTTCTGATACCAAATGATCAACTAGATCAACAAGTTATTATTTGTTGGATAAGCGACAAGACTTTTGTCAGGTAGTGTATGTGGAATTAATGTATTACTCCCTGAATTAGCTGTGTTGACAAAAGTTTTTAAGTTTGTATTATTTGTAAGCAAATACTAAAGAGTATTATTGTTGTTTCTCGTCATGTCATGTCAAATCTTTTGTTTTTTAGACCATGCTGCAACAGTCAAGAGTGCGACTCGGTCATCTACAGCCTTATAATAACAACGACTGAATAAATCTCCATAATAAATAATGATGAGCTACAACAAAAACAGTATAGTATATATGTTTCTCTTTTATTCAAAAAACTCAATTTGATGATGAATACATTTACATAGTTAAAAAAAGAGTCGCACATTGAGTATAAAAGGATTAAAGAAATAATATATACAATGTACAGCGAAGATCCAAAAAATAATACATCTATGTACAAATGTATGCATGCGTCTGTATTTACAACCACATTTCACATCATCACTTGACTAAAGAAAATCATTCATGTATTTATGAAACAATATATGATGTTAAACTATTCAATAAAATGCCAAGTAATATCAATACGAAGTCAAACGGCTCTTTGTTTTATACATGCAATAAGAATACGCTAATTGTGCAATAAATTAACACTAATGATGTGCTGGATAAATATAACACTCCCATTACGACAGTAGTTCTTCTATTTTAAAATGTCAACATTAGCTGCATCAATCTGCTCACTGCTGAACACGCATTCAGCATTTGACATGTACAGTATTTACAGTACTCGATTCCACTCCAGTGCTCTTCTACATCCTACATCGAAATTTAATAACACCCATATTCTATATGGCAGGGGTGCACAAACTTGGTGCTGGAGGGCCGGTGTCCTGCATATTTTATTCCCAACCCCAACTAAACACACCAGAACCAGGTAATCAAGCTTTTTCTAGCTATACTAGAAGCATCCAGACAGGTTTGCTAAAGAAAGTTGGAGCAAAAACTACGCAGGACACAGTTTGAGCACCCCTGATCTATGTTAACATAATCCTGCTAATAACAGTCGTCTTCGTGATGTTTCGTATGCAGGCTGCGCCGCTTACAGCTGAAGGGTGTCATTTCAAACATGCCCCCGTCTGCCATTGGCCGGACAAACAGGTAGCCCTGCCCCCAAAGTCCATCTATTGGCTGAGCCAGTTTTACTATATCGGGCCAGCCGAGATGCTCAAACATCATTTTTAGGCTACAAATGACTTGCATTTCGTTTAATTTCGTTAATTATCGAATCAAAATGATGCACTTTTCATTCTTATGAACACGGGTAATTAGAAAAATCGCAGTGTTTATGTGGTTAGGCCATTTGTAGACACAAAAAAATCAGTATTCAGGTGACTAAAACTGAAATATTATGAAAACTCTGGCCAGGGTGAAGACTTTACAAAAGTTCCAGAGTCTTTGCCTTAAAATGTTGCAGAAATATAAATGTATAATCTAATTTCAAAGTAATATAGTATACAGTAAAATATATATGAATGAAAAGTTATATTCTTATTCTATATTATATTTTTTGTGCCTTTGTGGATCCATTCAGGCCTAAGAGACCCTTAGTAGGGCAGTTGAAACTTGTCTGGTAAGTGGCTGGACAGGTTCTTTCCCTATACCTCATTTACATGCTCTTTGTCTCCACCCTAACACCACCACCTCCTAAAACATATACTAAACAGGACAACTACTCAAATTAGACTTTTGTAGAATGTAGTAGACTCTTGTAGACTCTTCCAGTCTCATGTGAACCTCTTGAAGATGACTTTTGACTGCAGAACAACCTTGGTGTCCTTAATAAAGAATTCATCTTGAGTGTCCTGGCTTGAGTTCTCAAATTTCCAACGTCAGCATTTCTCAACAATTCTGATTGGCCAACACAGCTGGGTTTGCACACTTCTCAAAAAATGTAACTACACGTCGTGGTCTGTGTCACTTGGTAGCATTGATTAGTGTGGGTGGGAGCCCTTTAGAGCAAGTCCTGTGGAGCAGCTCCAGATGGAGACTTTTATTTTGTTACTTTATGATTAAAGTTGTTGCATGTCTGCCAGTTCCCGCTTCTGAATGATCAAGTTTAATGTACTTGTTCAGTAAATTAGCATTACAGGTATTTCTGGTATAAACAAAACACCCAGAAAGAAACTCGACACAGAAGAACATAGAAGCCCCAGTGCCAGCTAGCGTTTCGGGAGTGTTATTGCAGAGCAACACAAACAGAATGCAGAAGTATAAATGCAAGGCTATGGGCAAGGCATGTGCCCTGGGATGCTGCGATCACTCAACGTAAAAGTCGTATTCAGCCTTAACCGGCTTTTGTTTTCATGTCTGCATTGATTTGTACACTCCAAAAATGATCCTGAATTTTATTGCCAATCTTGAGCCAATCGTAAAGGTTTGTTTTGGTTCATTTTCACATCCAACAGAGCCCAGGGGATCGTAGAAAGACTCCAGCTTGGCCTCTCCCTGATCCAATTTGCCCATCAACAATTACGTTAACTTAATCGATTTGTGTTGGGACAACATGCAGGAGTTGTGTAGAACCCAGCATTTTTTTAGTGTATGCCATGTAATCCTGCAAATATTTAATTCGGCATTTAGTGTGAACCCAGCATTAAACACATTTATCGCCACCTGTTGGTTCCTTTGGTCTGTTTTTGGTTTTCATGCGGACAGAGATTACGTTTTTTTTTTTTTTAAACGAAGACGGGGAAAACTCAGTTTATAAAAATACCGTGTTCATGTGGACATGGCTCAAGCTCAGAGGTTTGTGTGAAGTTTCATCAATGAATTCAGATTGTCTTCTGTGGAATCTCATCCTTTAGGCCTCTGCTGTTGGATCAGTCGATTCTGGTTTCTTCCTATTTAAAACAAGAGCAAATATACCAATATTATAACACAGCAAAAAAAGTTGCTTCCTGTGTTTAATGAGGCAGGAGGATTGTTTAACTTGCTTTTTTAGGGAAATTGATAATAAAGAAAACAATGAAAGAGTTTTAAAAAATGGCAGTAGGAATAACATGTAACCTCAAGATTTAAAAATATGGCTCATCAAAAATGAAATTCATTGAATATTTAATCACTATTTGCTATTTTAGATGATAGTTTATTAAAAAAAAAGGTGTAAAGACTATTTGGATTCAATGCAAGTGAATCTCGCCAACACAATGGAAAGAAGCTAAGCTCTAAACGTTGCAATGTCATGCGTAAATGTGCATATTACTAATGCCATTGTCTGTTTGTTTAACACAGTCTTTTGTTTAATAAAGTGGTATTTATGTTTGCGCTCTGCTTTATATATGTATTTGTTTGTGTTGTTTGAATAAAGTAAAACAGTGAAGATACAGTGCAGTGTATTTACAGTAATCTCTCAAACATAATACAGTAGAAGAATAAAAACGGTGCAGTACAAAAAATGTAAATGTGCATATTACTGTTGTCATTGTCTGTTTAATACAGTCTTTTGTGTAAAAAAGTGGTATTTATATTTAAAGTACGCTTTATATATGTTAATGTCAGTTTAATTCAATGTATTGTTGATTGAATACAGTTAAACAGTGTAGATAGAGTGCAGAGTATTTACAGTAATCTCTCAGACATAATGTAGTAAGATAATAATAAGAACAGGTTCGGAAAATCTCTAGTAACACTAGAAAAAGTCTCTAGATTTTTCGCTAGTCTTATTTGAAAATTAGTCACAAAGGGGGTCAGAAAAGTCACTAAATATTCAACAAATTTGCTAAATTGGCAACACTGAATCTCACAAATAATTTAGAGAAGCTGCAAGTAACACTTTGTAGTGTTTCTGCAGGTTACAAGTCAAATTTAGGACTTTTTAAGACTTTAAGACCATTCTAAATGAAATTTCAGAATTAGACATTTTCTAATGGCCCAATTAAACACTAAGATAACACTTTAAAATAATGGTCAACTAGTTAATGTATTAACTAACATGAACAAACTATTAGTAATACATTTATTACATATTTATTAATGCTATTTAGGTTAAATAACACAAGTTCATGTGAACGCATGGTGCATTAACTTATGCATAAATAAATGTTGAACTATGGGTAATAATGCTTTACAAGATTATTCATAATGTTAGTAAATACATTAACTAACAGACCATTATGCTAAAGTGTTAGCAACATTAAAAAACACTGAAAACAAATGCTATTGTAAGGAAGATATATAAACCATATTGGTAAATAAACTTCTTTATTGCTGGTGATTGGATGGGTGACTTTACATGGACAGAAAAACTAAGACCTGTTTAAAATGATTTATTTGACCTACAAACACAATATTTCAGTAAATTTAAGACTCTTTAGGGGATACAATTTAGTTTTTGAAATTCAAGACATTTTAAGACCCTACAGACACCCTGCTTTGAAATATATAGAGAATACTACTTTGTTGGGAAATTTACAAAAAAAAATCTACCATATATATATATATATATATATATATATATATATAGTGCTCAACATAAATGAGTACACCCTCTTTTAAAATATGAGTGTTTTTTATCCATTTCTCCATATAGAAAATAAAATTTGGTGCATTTAAACAAAACACCCTTTATTAAATAGTTATATTTATTGAAATAAGGGTTTGGTCACAAAACATCAATAGGAATAGAAAGATAATTCATTGCAAAAATAATTAAATAAATAAATAAAAACAACAATGATAATACAAACTCAAATATCAACTAAAATGTATATTTTCTACACTTGATTTCTTGTCTAATAAAATTGCACTGAATAGTTTTTCCATAACATTCATTTTGTTGTACTTTTGTTTGTAGTGTGATCTTAAGTTAAGATACCTCAAGTTTAAAATTAGTTTAAATTTTAGTTTCAGCTTTGGTGCCGACTAATCAAATGTATATACAGCACACAAATCTATTACTGCATAGCATCCAATAGAAAATATTAACGTAAAAGAGAGATCTGTGAAGGGTGTTCTCAATTGTGCTGGTCACTATAGTAGTTTTGCTAATAATTTCACAACACACACACATATGCTGTTATGTTATACATCAGTGATGTAATAAATGTTTGAAAGACATATGTATCTAAAATTTACCAACATTACTTAAAATAAGTTACAACATGCATGGTTGGCAAAGATTAAAACAAACAAAGTGATGACATGCTGATCTTTTTGAGTGAGCTGTTCCTTTAAACCTGGTTACATCACAAAAAACCCACATGCCATTTTTTATTTAGTGAATGGCAGCATCGATGGCCAGCTGCATTCAGCTCTTTGAGGTTTGGCACCTACTCGAATTTGGTAAGAGGCGCTTTGTCACACGTGACCTCTGAATGAACGCCATTCACTGCCCCATTGGGTGCCTGAAGCTTTGGGATGCTGCCTCGTGGAAGTGTGAGGCCACTCAGCTTCATGTCTCTGTATCAGACGAGGACACATGAGGAATGAAGCTTAGTGACAAAGATCAAAGCTTTAACACTGGACTTGCAGATGAAATGATACGTTTGAAACACAGAGTTTGAAAATACCCATATTTGAAATACTTACACAATAAATGTACACAAAAATATTAAAAGGTCAATAATTAAGAAACATTTTTATGCACTTGCTGATTTTAATGATAAATATTTTCATATTGTGAAATAAGATATGATGATACAATAAGAGTGTATGAATTACTTAGCAATGTTTATTTTTTATTCATTAAGTATGTTGTCATGAATGAGTTCATATTAGTTTCTATAAAATATTGCATGATTATATTTTTTATAAAATGTATTAATCTTGGTTTATTTTTGTTTGTATATTTAAACATGTTAATAATAATAATAATAATTCCATTTGTAAATACATATTTTTCTAATATTTATTAATCTTAAAATGACATTTATTATGTAAATGCATCATCACTTTAAATAAGCTATACTTATTAATATTTATTGCTAATTTAAATTTTTATTATATGTAAAAAAAATACATCTAAGTTGTTAGTTAAATGTATTAAATTTTATAATGTAAATGTAAAAAAAAATGTTGTGGTAAAAATAACGTTTACTTTTGTCAGTACTTATGTGTTAATAATACTACTACTACTAATAATAATAATAGTTTATATACATCAATAAATATTTAAAATATTTGTAACATTCATTGATCTTAAAATGCATTGCATAATATTTTAAATGCATTATATTGCTTTAATTATGCTCTTTTTATTTTACAAAAATTATTCATCTGAATTGTTATTTTAAAAAAATTAACAGAAGCACTGAATGTTTTTTAAAGGTGCTGTATGTAAGTTTTTGACTCTTCTAAAGCATAAAAAATACCATAATATGTTTGCAGAAATTTAAGAAATATGCCAAGTGAAAAACTTGTTAATCTGAAAAACAATGCTGAAGTCAGATATTCTACTTTGAAAATGTAAAGTTACATGCTGGAACTTTATTTTGGTTGTTAAACCTGCCCAATGCCAGTTTAGCCAATTATATTTATTTCAGCACCATGGGTTGCCTTGCTGAAAAACCGCATACTTCAGTTATTCATTCAGGAAGGCTCTGAAAGCATGCACCCGTGACTGAAATGCGACCTCCAGTAAACAGGAGCAGACTCCAAAATGAGACGCAGATTCAGTTCCACATGAGGTTATTAATCAGCAAATGATATAAATATTATTAATGTAAACATTAGGTGAGCAGGTTACATTGTAATCCTGTGTCCTAACAACAAGCTACGTGACGAGATGAGCAGTCATGAGCAATTTGTCTGTTTGTACCAGACGAAACTTGACAGAAATTTAAATACAGCCATTCAGAAGCACAGAATATGCACTCACTTACGAAATGGTAAGGTTTATAATCTATTTATTACATATTAACCATCTTTAACATTATTAAACGTACATGCTGAATCATTAATGTTTAGTTCTAAAGTTCAATTTCAAAAGGTTTATTTTATCTTCAAGATCTGAGGTGAACTATCTGCTGCTGCTTTCAATATTATGGCAATAAATGTCATGTGAAATGGTATTTAAACTCACATTATTAGCATTTTACACTGAATAAAGCACATGAGGTGTACCTAAGGTGATCATTGTGAGATATCTGTTGTTCACCTGTTAGAAATAGAAGTCGTTTCTGATATATCAATTTGAGGTGTTGTTTAGCGCAAAAACTCATTTTAATATAGAAAATATTCCTTCTGTCAGGTGCCATTGCTTTTATTCAGAACACGGTTTAAATCACTCGCTCCTGTCCTCAACCTGGCAATCTGCAATGGGTTTGTTTTGATCCAGGAGTGTAACACCTAGTTAAACCGCTGGGTGTAAAACTTACATACTGCACTGTTAATGTGAATGTAATAAAAGGAATGTCAAAAATAATGTAGAAATTAACCAAGATTTCAAAATGCAGTAAAAATAATTTAATATTAACTGTTAGATCACCATAACTATTTTATAACACTTATTTACAAACTTATTGTAAAACCCTCATTATTAATAATTCTAATCAGCTATTACTTTTTTGCCGTTATGATGTCAATTCCAACTTTCTAAAAGTGAGCACTACAATACAATAACATACTAATTATGATATTATTTATTATTTATATCACAGTGTACACTATTTAAACTTTCACGCCAAGAAAGTGAAAACACTTACTGAAATAGTTCACTCAGAAATGAAGTTTCTCACTTTTTAAATAACACTTTTAAGGTCAAATTTATTTTCCATTCACTACTTTCTTGTATAAAGCTTCATTTTTGAAACTGAGAGATGAGCTATTCCTTGCAATTACTGCAATCTAACATAATGTGCAAACAATGGCTTTCAGTAGAAAAACTGGGCCTATGGAAAGAACAGTCTTATTGTTTATCTCTACAGCACAAACATGAGGAATCAAGTTTTCTTACCCGGTGGAATTATTGGCCTCCTCGTCAATCCCTTTAGTCTCTGCCATTTTGTGTCCCAATAGTTTACGAGCGAGGAAATTAAGCAGGCCGCAGTGGTTAGTGTAACAGCAGAAAGCATCTACTGAAACCATCAGCACCAGGAAGATGAACATTACAATCCCGACCACACCGCCTTTCCCCAACGCCGGCTGACTGACTGCAAGAAAAGAATAATTAAGTTCGAGTTCATTGATTAATAAAGCACATTTAAAATATATATTATTTAAAATAAAGAACATAATGCATATTATGATTAGAGTCCGCTCTAATCAGACGTACTTGGCTGGGGGACGGTGAAGTTGACTTTAGCAGGGCTGGAGGAGCCGTTGTGGTTCACTGCATAAACTTCCAGGTGATAGTCAGCGTTGTACTGGAGATCATTGAGCTGGATTCTGCTGGAGTTTCCAGGAATGGTGTTTTCTGTCCATTCCTCCTTTTCCTTGCTCTGTTCAAGAGATGATAGAGACTGCATGTTAGAATTTTCATGTATTAATTGCTGCTAAGTCAGTTTGTGTAAAACTTGGAACAAAACTTTAAAAAAGGCTTTTCTTGACCTCCTAGGTTGTCTATAAAAACCTCATTTGTTGTATTGAGAAGTCTGAACACTTATGGAAACCAATATGACATTTACATTTGCTCATTAAAGTCTCTATTTTGCTCTCTGATGTAGAGGTCTGCATTCCTGCGGCTGTCCCGCGGGCGCCGCGGGACCCGACCAGATTTCTACGGCGCGGGTATAAATTTCCGAATAAATCACGGGAGCGGTCGGTAACGGGTTTAATTTGGGACGGCAGCGGGCTGTCTAGCAATATCGCTCCCGACTCCCGAGTGAGCACGCGTATGTATGTGTGTAAATGAAATAGCGCGATGCTGTGTTTAGCTTGTTTGTTGCAGTGTGTGTGTGTGTGTGTGTGTATGTATGCGCACGTGCGAATGAGAGATGTGTGTGTGTGTGAGTGTGTGTGTGTGTGTGCGCGTGTGTGTGTGTGTGTGTGTGTGTGTGTGTGTGTGTGTGTGTGTGTGTGTGTGTGTGTGTGTGTGTGTGTGTGTGTGCGCGTGTGTGTGTGTGTGTGTGTGTGCCCGCGAATGAGAGATAGAGAGCTTTGCCTCGTTGCCTGTGTTTGTGCTTGGTGCTTATGAGTGTGTGTTAGAGGGCGCGCGAATGAGAGAGAAAGCTTTGTCTGTGTGTGTGTGCTTGGTGCTGTGCATGTGTGTGTATATACAGACAGCTTGTTATAGGCTGTCTGGACTGTATAACTGGGTGATTTTTCAAGTGCTTAATATAAGCGGGAGCGGTCGGGTTCCGGCTAAAACCTGGCGGGTGCGGGCGGGATTCAAAATTTAGTCCCGCGCAGATCTCTACTCTGATGCATTAAACAGATACTTATAATATTCAGGATAATGGTAAAATAACTATTTCATATTGCTTTTTTAACATGCCATGCAAAAAAAGTAATTAATTCAAATTGTAGTCTGACATAGCCAGTTTACATTAATGAAAAATATTAAGAACAGAATTAAAAATATTTAATTTTAATTGAATTAAATTTTGTCATATTTATAAAAAAATAAAAAATAAAACAAAATTGGTAGTGGACAATTAGGAGAATGATCATGTTGCCTTAATTCATTTTATACCCTGACTGACCAAAAAAAATGTACAAATTTGTAAGTTTCCTTTACAAAAAAGACCTTCAGCAGCTATACTTGACCCAGGCAAGGAAGCTCCAAACAATTCAGGTCACAGCGATAGCAATACTGGAAACACAAAATACAGAAAAATACCTAGATAGTTATCTGAACTAAGGTTTTTTTCCCATTTTCTCGAACCAAAAAGTCCCTGACCCAGCCACAGTGCGTTATCTGCGCCAAGTTCTTGCTAACGAATGCATGAGACCGTCCAAATTAATAAGACATTTGCAGACGACTCATCCCCAATACAGCAAGGCGTACCCAATACAAATGACCTACTGATGTTTTGCTTTTTAATCTAGATTTAGTAATAAATAAAATAAAAATAATTTGTTTGAAAACAACATTTTTTGTCATACATACTGCAAACTTATACGAGCGATAATATGATAATATAATTAAATATGGAGGGGGGGCCTTACAATATTTTCCAGGGGAAAAGGGGGTCTCAGGCAACCATTGATAGGTTGGCAACCACTGATATACAGTACTTTCATTTCTCTTTTTGTTATGCTTGTTGTATCATTAAAAAAACAAAGAGTGCAGCACATATTTACATAAGTATCTTAATGAATGGCATCTGGATGTATATGACCACACTGTTTTTTTATAAAGATATTCTGAAAAGAACTTTGGAGTAAGCATATGAATACTGAATCACACAGTCACTTGTACAGTATGTTATGAGTGCAAACATTGCAGTTCACTGAATGGCCACTGGTGTCACTAATAACAGGGGTTTATGAATTCAATAAATAGTCCCTTTAATATTTTAGAATATTAAAAAAAACACATACTTCAGAGATGTAGGGAGTAGTAGTGGTATGGATTCAGACTTACCCCTTTGTAGCGAACAATGTATTGTAGAATGGGAGAGCCTCCATCTTTCAGCTGTTTGATAGGGATGGAGACGGAGTTCTTCTCCAACTTTTTTTCACTCAGAGACAGAACAGGACTGTCGGGTTCTCCTAAAAATGATGGAAAGATGAAAGCACATCAGGTAAGAGGAACAAAAAAACAAGGTAGCAGCTTGATGGCTGGGTGATTTAGCTAATACAAAAATAAATGCAGAAGTATACAATATTTTAACAACTATATATAGCCACTACTCTCTGAACATTTGGGATTGGTAATTTGTTTGTGTTTTAAAGCATTTTATGCTTAGCAAGGCTGCATTTATTTGTTTAAATTTTTTTTTTAATTGTGTAATGTTATTAGAAATATATATATATATATATATATATATATATATGAGCAATATCATACAAGTAGCAGTGCGATATGGCTGTATATCAGCACTGGTGGGAGGCGTGCGTTGGCACAAGGCCGTAGTCTGAGTGCCTTAGCGTCCCACCCGTGCTGATATACAGCCATATCACCTTGCTACGAGTGTGATATTGCGTTTATAAAACAGTTCAACATCACAATCCTGTATATAAATAAGAAAATTAAACACAGAGAGTTTGTTCGGGGGTGAGGTTGAGAACAGGATGCAGCGGGTTTTGGGCGGCCGCCTTCGACCGGGTACTGTATCAAAGTTGGCAATCCCAGGCTCGTTTAGTTTACAGACTGTGCCAAAGATGGAGGTGGGTGAAATTACAGGAGCTTTTTTTAGAAAGAAATAAAAACGGGATGTTTGCGGGAGACTGGTCTGAAATACGGGATACTCCCATGAAAAACGAAAGTATTGGCAGGTGTGCTTACCAGTCTAATATTGATTTGATCTGCTATAGTTAGAAATCAGACTGTTATATCCTCTAAGCATAAGAGCTTATTATGCGGTTCTGTCGCCATCTTGTGGATAGAAAACGTCAACCGTCGCCAACCAGCTATCTCTCAGAAATTGTAAATATTTTAAAATAGGCACTATTCTTGCAAATAAACTGAACAGTTGCAATCTAAACAACTACATTCTCAACTAAAAAAGCCTCAAAAGTACATTTAGTTGTCTAACAGCAGTAATATGTCAAATTTAGTGTCTGCTTATTGCTGGCTGTATGTGGGCGGAGTAATACACAAACGGTAGAGGCTGTACGTTTGCTGATATTACTTAAATATATCACAGCTATCAGCTAATCAGATTTAAGATCCAGACAGAACTGTTGTATATATATATATATATATATATATATATATATATATATATATATATATATATATATATATATATAAATAAATAAATATTACGGTTTTTTTTTGTTTAACAGTTAAATAAAAAATGTTTGTTTTTAACAGTTAAATGAATATTACATTTTTAAAATTACATTAATATTACATTAAAAAATTAACACTAACGTTATATTTTTTATTACATTTTTAAAATGGCTACTGTAGGTAAGAAGTTTCCAAACTAGGTCCTGGAGGGCCGGTGTCCTGGATTGTTTAGCTCAAACCCTAATCAAATACACCTAAGCCAGCTAATACAGCTCGTACTAGAAATACTAGAAACATCCTGGCAGGTGTGTTGAAGCTAGTTGGGAGCTAAACTCCAAGGACTCCCTCCAGGACCGAGTTTGGACACTCCTGCGTTGGTAAAATACATAAAAAGTGAGTACAATCAGTTCATTGAAACATACATAAAAGGATTTACAGAAAGTATTCAAACATGCTAGCTCCAACACTTGTTTTTAAGTTTAAAGAACTCAGGGTTTATTTTAACAAACTAGTCCATGCGGAAATAAAAAGCACATTAAAATGAATGTAAATATCACCCAGCCCAACAATGTAACATTTCATCACCGACCACAATATACAAGCTGTTAGCGTATAATTCAGTGTAATTAACTATCCAGTGGATAAGCTCCAAAATCATTCACTACAGTGTATAGATGTGTGAGAACGGCACACCAGCACTGATATCATGCTGAAATTAACCTCCAGCATTGGAAATATGCATATGAACTCACTCTCACACGTCTATATCATAGCAAACAATTAGGTTTGTGTTTTAGCCTATCAACTGGAGATGTGTGCATTCAAAACTTTGATTTACCATCTACATGAGGGTCAGAATATGGGCGCCGGGACCAGGAGAAGGTGGTAATGCATGGAGAATGGTCACCATCAAGCAGCAAATGGCCGTTTAGTTGGGAATTAGAGGAAGAATGGGCAGCAGAAGCAAATAATGAACATATGTGATGAGCAAAACAGGCATTTATGACAAGGATGGCAGCATGACATGATATGAAATACAATAAAAGTTCATATCTTAATTATAATACAAAGATGGGACTCAAAAGCAATGACAAGGCCCAGATGATGATTTTATAGTTTCTAATTTCTATGGATTGCATTTAAACATCAAATCAGCCCCAAAAATGGATCATATGCAATCAAAGTTAAACATATACTGCATAATAACATATACATGTATATTGAAATACTGTTTATAGCTCTCTCTACATAGGCAGGTAGTTTTATCCAATTTTTAAACTGTGTTAAACAGTGAAAAAAATATATATAACGAAGAATAAAAGTTATGTTGTGTAAAATGTTAAAATTCGATTTGTTAATCATCTTAACACAATAACCAGTTCATCACAAAGTTTTGACAATTACTTTTCTGAAAACTGGATACTTTACAGATTTGCTGGAAGTTATGAGAAACAGTATTTTGCTCTATATGTTTATGTGTGTATCAGAGGTCGCGTTAACCAAATATTTTCCGTCATTGACAGATTTTTTTCAGCAGTGACAGAAAAATCTGAAGGTGATTTTGCTGGGGGTGATCTATTGTAATTTGTAGCTAACTGTAATTCCGACCTCTGTCCAGCTGATGGCTATTGCCCTTGTTTTGTCTCCTCTTTGTCACGGCTGCGTACAGTTGCCAAAATCTCACAGCAGCTTAGTGTGAGAAGTTTCTTTAAATGGCCTATTAGTTGTGATATTAATAATAAAGGTGAAAAAAAGAGGAAGTGATGCAGTGGAGGATGAAGAACAAACAGACAAAAATCCCCAGTCGCCGACAGCTGTTGTTACGGGCCAACCAAGCGGCAACAAGGAGGTCAGGTGGTTTGTAGTGCGTTGTGAGCACCATGCACTACCGAACGCAGAGGGGTGAAGCCGCGCCCCTGTTGCTGAAGGAGCGCATGCTGAAGTATTTTTTCCCGGTGAAACGAGCGGTTGCAAGACTGGGAAATCCCACATTCAGAAAATCCAGCAAACTTCTGATCACTTCCTTAGGAGAAATGTTTGCTAACTACAAAACGCTGGCTGAAGTGGCGCTATCTAGATAGCAGGTAGTAATCGACTCGAGCTCGGCTGCCCTTCGGCGCCTCCGGCTCCGACTCGGCATTGGCGAGTGTTATCCGGGCCGAGTAAGGCCCGCAGCTCGCTCCCGCACATGCGTTTGTGATGCGGCTGTAAAACACTGGCCCGATTCCTGTTAACCATATCTGGCCTGAGTCTGTCTGTAGAGTCCGAGCTGCTTCTGGCATGGACTCTCCAGTGTGGCAGCAGAACGTGGCTTCAGCCTCCAGAACAAATTTAAAACTGTCACGAGAAGTCGACGCTCCGAGTCAAAGACACAGAATTTAATGACACCTGCCTCTGCATCAGTTTCTCTTGATGCGTTTGATTACGCACAGGCAAGCACCCAGTTCAGGTCGACGCAGGAGGAAGATATGAGGTAAGGCAGATATGAGTTTTTGTTCACTTTTCAAATAAATAAATGAATAATTGAGCCAATATGCTCATCAAGCAAGTTCATTATTAAAATATAAATCAAAAAAGCGATTAGAAAATACGCTAATTAATTGATGGTCAATAATAGGTTATGATGGAATTTTTACAACCCTCTCTATCAAAATGACGGACAATGACAAAGTCTAACGCGACCTCTGGTGTGTATATGTATTCCTGTTTATATTAGACATGAGAATTAGAGGTGAAAATTATTTTTTGATCAATTTAAGACATTAATGCTGTTTGTGTAATCATATATTTGCACAAAGACAAAATGATTAGCCCTCATGTAAAATTTGAGTTCTTTTTTAAATATTTCCCCAAGTGATGTTTAACAGAGCAAGACTTTTTTTTACATTACCATATATCCGTTTTCTGGAGAAAGGTTATTTCTAACTGAAATAATGAATAAAAAAATGTAATAAATAAATAAATACACATGCTAAGTCAAAATTATTAGCCCCTTAAAAAAATAATTGGGTAAGTAATAGTTTAACAGTGGTTTGTTCGGTATCTATTAGGGGTGTCAAAATTAATTGTTTCTTTGGTGCACCGCGATGCAGATGCGGACAATTCGGTATCGGTTCAGTAATAATCATAACCGGTTATTATGTACTGACGTCATTTATCTCCTATGCTCTCTGTCGCGAGGGAGGTGAGCGCGAGTATTTACAACACTCAGCCAACTCAGGGCCGGTCCGTGGCATAGGCACCATAGGCAAATGCTAAGGGTGCTGTATATCCAGGAGGGCGCCAGAAAGGAGCGCGGTTCAGTTGGTTTTGTTTTCGATATTCTTGACACACAGTCAGTTACAGACGGCAATAACTCAAACACCTCTTACCCTAAAAAGATCTAAAGTGTGTTTCCTACAAAAAGACAAAGCTGGTTATGTTTCACAGCTGTCTTTCTTTTTTTATGCTCCACACTACGAGCACTGCTCCGTTTAAGCCCTCGCAATATGTGTTTAGCCGGGATAGCTCGCGCTGAGAGGAGCTCTCAGCAAGGGACCGTTTCGTTTTTCTGCTCCGCTCTTCGTGAGCTCTCCCTGTTGCGAGGGCTTAAGTGTGTGTATGCGTGTGTGTGTGTGTGCGTGTGTGTGTGTGTGTGTGTTTGTTTCTTTGGTGCTGTCTATGTTTGTGTTTGAATGAGAGACAATGTGGTGCTGTGTCTCTGTGTGTTTATACAGACTGCTTGTTATAGCCTCTCCTCTAAAATATAACACTGTATATGGAAAGCATCGTCAATGCACCGTGATGCACCGAAATATCGAAATGAACCGAAGGCATGATAATCGTAACCGAACCGAACCATGAGACCAGTATAGGTTCACACCTCTAGTATCTATGAAGCCTTTTAATTGCACTTTCATCTGAATACTAGTATATTGCAAAGTAACATGAATATTATGTAGTCATCATGTCAAAGACCAAAATAAAGTGTTATTAAAAACTAGTTATTGAAACTTATGTTAAAAAATGGTTCTCTCCATTAAAAATCACTTTGAAAATATTTATTCAAAATAACATTTCACAGGAAGGCTAATAATTGAGTTTGAATGTTTATGTATATATAATTACATTCCTATGAGATGTATATACATATATCTGGTGATGGTTATATCTGGGCCTGCAACTGAAAAAAAACTGATGGAGATGCAGAAGATGAACATAAGTGAACAGACTGTGTGTATATTCTGCTGATACTCACGTCGAGACTGTGTAAAGATGTTCTGTTCTGTAGAAAAGTTCCCCTGATAATGAGAGTTTTTGGCTGCAATGCGAACCGAGTACTCCGTGTATGGCTCGAGGTCCTTGATCATCAGGGGATCTGCCAACATAAGCATTTTCACCACATTTAGTTGAAGTCAGAATTATAAGTCCTCCTGAATTATTAGCCCCCTTTATATTTTTTCTCCAATTTCTGTTTAACAGAGATTTTCTGTTAGCAATGTTCAACACATTTCTAAACATAATAGTTTTAATAACTCATCTGTAACAACTGATTTCTTTTAGCATTGCCATGATGACAGTACATTATATTTGACTAGATATTTTTTAAGATACTAGTATTCAGCTTAAAGTAACATTGAAAGGCTTAACTAGGTTAATTAGGCAAGTTCGGGTAATTATGCAAATCACTGTATAACGATAGTTTGTTTTGGAAACACTCGAAAAAGAATAAATAGCATAAAGGGGGCTAATAATTGTAACCTTAAAATTATTTAACAAAAATTAGAAACTGCTTTTATTTTTGCCAAAATAAAACATTATAGGAAATACTGTAAAAAAATTTGGGAAATATTAGAAAAAATAAATAAATAAATAAATAAATGAATGAATGAATAAATAAAATACGGCTTATATTTTGACTTTAATTGTATTTTGATTATACACGTAAACAAGTCATAAATCATATGTCTAGCCGTGATTTATTTACATGCGGGCTTGACGATATTTTGGTTCCAGTTGTCTTCGGATGGTTTCTTCCACTGAAGGATGTAGTAGCTAATGGGGGAGCCTCCGTCCTGCACTGAGACACTGTGAATGAGGATTGCAGATGAGGATCCTGCGGACATGCTGAACTGACTGGGGGTCTCGGGCCAGGCTGGTGTGAGAGAGGGAGAAAGAGAAGTGATCAATGAGAAGAAGAATTTATTCATTAAAATATTACTAACCAAAGTTTAATAAGTTGTTAGGAGTCAAGATATCCTGGAGATGGTATACAAGAGTTGTGAGTTTTAACATGATTGCATGGTATGAACTGTTGCCAATTAAGGAAAAGCAAAAACTGTGTCAAGTAGTAGAAATTAGTAGAAATAGGTAGTAGAAATTGCTAGTGCAATTGTAGGTAAAGCACAAAGACAGCTAAATGAAATGTATTTAATAAGAATTAAACAGAAATCACATGTCATTACTGAAGATTGTTCCCATGCCCTAAATATAAAGTTTCAGCTTTTGCCTTCAAGAAAGGTTTTAGGCAACCTCAAGTAAAGAAAAATGTGTATCAAATGTCCTTTGTGCTGACTGCTATTATAATTTATATGCTGGGTTTTAAGTATAAATAGAGTTCATCGAGTTCATTTTAATGTGATTTATGTGATGATATTAAATGCATCCGTGTTGCCTGTTTATTGTGACATGCGGGATGTGAATACTGATGTGGGTGCGTGGTGAAGCCAAAGACGATTTCTATTTGTGAACAATACAGAAAGTAAAGTTGATCATCATTATTCAAACATTTCTCATAATCAGTGGTGACCCACAGGATTACATTTTTTATAAAATATTTATTAAAGGACGTTATGCTTAATTTAATTATTTTTAATTATGTTAAAGCATCATTTTTATATCATTATTATAATTAATATTCATACATTTGGCATAATTTTCAGAAGACACCCACTGAAACTGGATTTGATAAACTAATTTGTTTATAGACAATAAATACCTGTATGTTATGTTCATATCTATTTGCATATCCTTGACTATTATTAGCAACCTGTACAGTATGGTCATCTATTTGTAAATCTAGTCATGTGATTCTAGATAATAAGACTTGTATATTAAGTTCATAATACATCCATCTGTAAATTTTACCAATAGTTTATTTTGTAGACAATGAAAAAAAACTTGCATAAGGGTGCTAACATATTGACCTTAAAATAAAAACTGCTTTCACTCTAGCCGAAGTAAATCTAATAAAGAGTTTCTCTAGAAGAAAAAAAATATTATAGGAAATACTGTGAAAAATTCCTTGCTCTGTTAAACATCATTTGGGAAATATTTGAAAAGCAAAACAAAATTCACAGGAGTGCAAATAACTTTGACTTCAACTGTATGTGTGTAAATTTTTAATTAAATGGCCACTAAAAGAGTCTTACTTATCAGCTGGAAGTCCCCAGTGGTTGTTCCCACTATATTTGTGGCTATGCAGGAGTAGAATCCACCATCAGAGGGCATTATGTTTTCAAGAATCAGCTCAGGTTCACCCGACTGCCCACACATGTGCGTGCGAACAGGAAAGACAACAAGAAACAGGAAACAGTAATTAGGCCCATAGAGAAGAGTACATGGGTCAAACTTCCTGTAGATACTGAATCCCCCCTTACTGCAGCACTATCAAATAAAATCATAATCCAATTATAATCCATTTTTTCTCCAGTATTCACATAACACTAACTATATAACTCCAGTATTCACACTAGCCAAAATACTGTAAAACAGTATGAGGTGATAATAAAGTCCATTAACCACCTCTTTTATTATTTCTTTATTTGCCAACCACATAAAAGTGGACCGATTTAGATGTTTCTCACCATTTTTTGTTGTGTATCCTTCCTGACCCACTGTACGGCTGGAGCTGGATGTCCTGTGGCATTGCAAAACACAGATGCACTTTCTCCTGGAATAATGCTCAGCTTGTTTTCAGTAAAAACCACAGTTGGAAGCTCTGAAAATTGTCAATATGACAAGAAAAAAAATTAACTTGTGCCATTTAAAGCAATATTAACATATGCAATTAAGGTAAGCATACACTGTGCAGTATAACAGTATTTGCTATAACAGGATATACAGTATATCAAAATACTCTTCAACTCTACACACACAAACACACACACATAAGAGAGATAGAGAGATATAGCTTTGTGTAACAATTTTTACTTTTTTATTTAAGTAATTATGAAAAATAAAAGTTAGACTGTAAATGATCACCATGCGATTTATATTATTTTAAAGTTTTAGTAATTTTGTTATCTTAACAGTACATTTCTAATTGTTTTTGTTCTTTTTTGTTCTGTCTTTGATAATGTAAGGATATACAGATACACTTGAGGCTAGTATTATAAAGAAACACATTAAAATACTTATTTAAAATGTAAAACAAAAGCTCATTTAAATTTAATTAAACAATAGGCATACAAATATAAATCTATAACGGACCTACTGTACAAATGATCAAAAACAAAACCTGAAAATGCTAAAATATACAAATATTAAACCAAAACCTATTCTTAAATGACTAAAAATTGGTTTGTTTGGGTCTGGCCCATTGCAGAGTTTCAATTTGATGCTTGCATGGTATCAAATTCCCCATATCAGTGTTTGTGACTATAGTAAACAGCTGACTCCAAGAGGAAAAATATTTTCTTAGACCAAATCTTTCGGTAAATTTTCCAAGACAAAAAAAACAAACATCTGAGCCATAAACACATAAATTCACTGAATCTTAGGCACCATTTACAGCCCAGTAGACAATGTATGAAACTGAGAAAAAGAGAAATTCAGAAAGGAAATATAAAGTTTGCTTTTATACGTCAATAACTGAATGATGGGATCATAAACGCATGTGTTATCGTCCTCTGCGTTATTTAACATAAACAAACAGCACAGGCTAACAGCCAAAGTTTAAATGTCACGCAGACCTTAAATATTCATCAAGAAAGTAAATAGTAGGGCTGCACTATATTTCATTTCAGCAATTTACAATCTGCAATAGTCACATCGCAGGATCGGCAATGTCAAATTGGGATTGCAGCTAATCATAAAACACAGCTCATAACACATGACTAGGGCCAGAGAGAATGGGTGGACATTTTTTGCTATTTCTGTGCAGAATTTTGTAAAAATCTGCAGATTTATGTGGATATATTGTGGGATTATTGTAACTAAAAACTTAATATATGAAAAAAAAAAACGACCTTTTTAACTTTTATTTAATGTTTACAAAGCAAATCCAATTAGATCCACTTATCTGGTAAACAAAGCAAGTCTCTTATATAATATCTCTACTAAAAGACAGAAAATATTACTTTACAAACTGTATTGTAAATATATCATATGAACATATTTATGTTAGTCAATAAAATTACTGAAATTAATTTAAAACTTAATTGATATGAGCTAAAAATAGGCGGAATTCTGATTCACGCAAATTTCGTGTGGGACTACACATGACTTGTAGAGTCATGTTTGACTATAATCAAATTTTTACTTAGATGTGTTTTTAAAGGGGAAATGAAGCACCCAGTTAAGTTTACATTATTTTGTAAATTGGATTGCACTTGAAAATATATTAAACAAACTCGATTAATGTATCCATTTACAAGACAACGGCATGTTTTACTATAGCTTTTAGACCTAGGGAGCCGCCATCTTGGAATGTCGCTGTGTCTGACATCACGCGGTTGGTTCCGTTCCCTCAGCTGAACAGATATGGTGGAGGTAAAGGACTGAACACAGAGACTGTAAAGCCTAATTTAACCCTATGCGTGAAGTTGTGGACATGGAACTGGTGAACCACACTCCAAACCAAGGGGTAAGAAAATTTCCCAGAATACCCCAGCCACAATGGAATTGCTGAACCAGGAAGTAAGGAAATCCACAAATTAGTATTTTTTTGACATAATTACACAAATTTTTATGACAAAAAAAAAAAAAAAAAAACGCTAAATTCCGCAATCTTTAATCCCTAATAATAACTGCTGTACAGCAGTCCCACAACATTGACACTTAATGACACTCAAATACCCTGTCAGTAATGTCTAGTGGCTGAAAACAAGCTTTTTACAATGTATGCTAAAATGTTATTTTTGTTTTTGCGTTTACATAGATGAATAAGGCCACTGTGTAAAAGCACAGTACAGCTAAGATCTTATTTCCACATTATATCGTTATGATAATATAATATATGCCTTCAGTGAATTCCTGAAGATACCAAAAAATAACTCAACTGGAATAACTCCAGCAGTCGACATATGATGACGTGTGCAGGTGCTGTAGTGGTGTCCCAATTCTTAGGGGTAAATTTCAAAGCCCTTCCCCTTAACCCTCAGTTGTAAGGGCCAAGAAGAAGGGGTAGGGGTACAAAAATAGAATTGGGATTGGACCTAAGTCATTTTCATTCTTCTCACCTGAGACATCCAGAACAAAAATGGCACTGCTTTCCCCAATCTTATTGCTAGCTGTGCAGATATACTCTCCGTAATCACTCCTGGTCACTGCTGAGATGGTGAGCTCACTCTTATCAGTATTGTAACTGTAACGGTAGTCATTAAAGCTGGAAGGGCTGAAGGAAAGATACAGAAACACAGTCTGTTGGCGCTACAGTACATTAGCACAACTCAAATATACTCATTGTAGGAGAAATAACTAATGAGTACAGGCATAGAGGCTTTTCAGATTTATTAGCCTCTAATCAGCCCAGGGTGCTTCATAGTACTGCCTCAGTATAGGGTCTGATCTTCCTATGCTGTGTTCACACTAGATGCGTCATGTGCGAATGGAGTAAATATGACGCGTGAATGAAGCAAGGAAACTCAAAATGTTCACACATCTATTATACGTGCGAATATCGCAATTTATTCATGTATAAATAGATGAGTGAACATTTTGAGGTCACTTGCTTTGCACGTCAAATTTGCTTCCTTCGCGCATGGAATTCCCTTCACGGTGCATGTGGATTCGTATCATGGGCAGGGCTTCTGTCTGCCAGGTCACTCTAGCTTCGTTGCTAAATGACTAACATGGATTTTATGAGAGAATAGCTGTGTTTATGTGCTGTATGAAGGCTGAAAAACAGTGTACATTTGTTCACTAGAGTCCACTAGATTCTTTCAGAGGTGCATCCATCTCGGAGTTCTTCATCTCCTCCAGAAACTGTAACTGGATCATGGAAGCTTTCAGAGGTGCTTCAAAGTGAGCCGAGCCTTGTTTGATGAGCTGTTGTCCGGTCTCGACAGGAGGATTTCTAACAACAGGCACTACATCATAATCATTCCCATCATAATCATTCAAGCTCCTGATTGGTTAACGCGGCGAGAATGTTCAATGAAGTTCAGATTTTCCAATTCAAGCAATTCGGCCGCAGGATGTTTTGTCTTTGTGGTTTTGCATTAACTTAACAGGCATATCCCTCCCGCTGGACGCTTCATCTGCATCTGGTGTGAACGCACCATGTTATCATATTGTGCACCTTGATGTCATCAATCTGACATGAAGTATGGGGTCAAAAAAGGGCAATCGATTTGATGTTAAAACTTGGATGTCTATTTGATGCCCTTTTGACCACCAAAATAGCTAATTTTTCTTCTCTTACCCCATTGGCAGATTATTTAGCTTGTTTAAACCATTAAAAAACATGTAAGCATGCATAAAGGAAATGATGCAGCATTTTCTGCTAATGTACATACGTTGTCCATGTAATGGTTGGAACTGGTGCTCCTTTGACCAGGCAGGCTATAGACAAACTGGTGTTGGGTCCAGCAAAAACACTCTTTTTCTCCTCATGAATCAGTACAGTCGGTGGCTCTAAAGAATGAAGCATTTAAAGCAGATATTAAGCGGACAGATTCACCTTGTACAAACACGCTTAGTTCTTCTATATCCTCACCATTGACAACAACAGAGATCGGGAGATTTCTGGTTATTGGGCGTCCCTTGATCTTCCCTTCACAGATGTAAGTTCCTCGGTCCTCGTGCTGAATTCCCACAATCATCAGAGTTCGATCTGGAAGGATTTTCAAATGACTTCGGCCTAAAAAAAAAACAATTTCAGCATAAAAGGTGTAATCGTATCATTACAAACATGGATTGAAGCATTTAAAAGCCAGCATGCACACTCTTTATTAGCCAGATCACCCTAAAATTAAAACCCCATCAAAATGAACCCAGGCTCATTGGATAAATACGCATCCATGCACGTTTGCAAAACTCCCAAAGCCTAACTATGCATATTATTCCCAGCACTGCCACTACACTAAACACTATACTGCAGTAAAATAACAATATATGATTGTACTCTTTTTTGCTCAAATCACAAGGACAGCTGGTTAAGCATTATAACATGCCTAACTCTTGTTATGTTATGACAAAAAAAAAGTCACAATAGTGCACGATTTCTAAAATAATATTTTTCATGTTTCCATCTGCATATTTGGCAGGTGCAACAGTAAATAATTAAACATGTTTTTAATGCAACTCACTAGACACTTCAGTTTAAAAAGTGCCAGACTGATTGGCACCTGCTAAAACTTAAATGTGTTGCACAAATATTAAGAATCAATAAAATGCAACTTTTTTTCACTTTTGTTTCAGATTAAACTTTTTAGTACCACAAACTGAACAGTTCACATCATGAAAGTGTCATCAAACTCGTAGAAATAAGCATAAACTAAATTTGCATAACTGGAGCACAAGCATAGTATACTAAGGTGCCTAGTATGCCATTGAGTTGCCCCCATATCTTTCTAATCACTGCAAAAAAAGCTTTTCTTGCTTATAGTTTTTGTCTTGTTGCAAGTACAAATATTATCGTTTTCAGAAATATGTCAAAATTAAGCACGTTTTTCACTGAAACAAGCTAAATTATATGCCAATAAGGTAATGAAATTTTTTTTTTATTTCAAAGCAAAAACAATAAAAAAACTCATTGCAAAAAAAAAAAATTATGATTTAATTTTTTTTTTTTTTTTTTAGATATTTGTATTAGAAATAAGACAAAATAAAACTTTTTTTCGCATTGAGCCCCCATGAAATGCATACGAAAATATGTGAGGGTAATTAAATAATCAGTTGGCATTTCTGTGTGGAGTTTGCATGTTCTCCTTGTGTTGGCGTGGGTTTCCTCCAGTTGCTCTAGTTTCCCCCACAGTTCAAAGACATGCGCTATAGGTGAATTGAAGAAGCTAAATTGGCCGTAGTGCATGTGTGTGAATGCAAGAGTGTTTTGGTGTTTCCGGGTGTTGGATTGGAGCTGGAAGGGCATCCGCTGCGTAAAACATATGCTAGATAAGTTGGCGGTTCATTCCGCTGTGGCGACCCCTAATGAAGAAAGGGACTGAGCCAACATAAAAATTATAATATAAATATAATTAAATATTTCCTAGAGATGGGTTGCGGCTGGAAGGGCATCCGCTGCATAAAAACGTGCTGGATAAATTGGCGGTTCATTTCGCTGTGGCAACCCCGGATTGATAAAGGAACTAAGCCGAAAAGAAAATGAATGATTAAATAATAACACAGCTTGAGGTGAACTAATTTATCCCTATAAGGTTGTCAATGGTGGCGTTTACTTCAAATGGGGCAGGGTTGAATGTTTTGAATTAGTTTCTTTCAGACTTTCAACCAGTCAAAACACTCAAAGGATCAGTCCACCCAACAATGAATGTTTAATCAGCATTTCCTCACACTCAAGAGATTCTAAACCCCTTCAGGAATATAAGGAATACCACTGAACATGACACTACATATTGTGAAGAATGTTTGGGCCATCAACAGTAGGAACAAAAAATAGGATGGCCGTTTTTCCTTCACAACATTCTTCAGATTGTCTTGTTTTGTGTTCAACAGAAAAAAAACGAAACTCAAACAGGTTTAGAACAAGTTGAGGATGAGTAAATAATGACAGAATTTCCAAAATTGGGTGATCTCTCCCTTTAATCAAACAACTGCTTGAATATGTTTTCCACCTAGTAGCAAGAAACATCTCTCGATTTGCTTACAAATCGGGCATAAAACAAATGCCTCCCACCACATCAGCAACCCGTCCACCATCACCATTCTGCCAAATGCAGGCATGGAGGAAACTAGGAAGGTGATGAGACCCCCACATCGCATAAAAAACCATAAGAGCCCGCAGTATAGCCACCCGTCCTACCATCATCATGTATCATGCGATCATTCCTAAACCAGTGGATCTCCACCTCGGGTTTGCCAGTCACCATGCAGGGAATGATCGCCGTTTGGTTCACCAGAAATTCATGGAATGTCCGCGTCTGTCCAAAGTCTGGTGTTTCTAATATGAAAGACAAAATTCACAAACCAATCATTATCGATATTAACTTGATGGAAAAAAATATTCCACATGCATTGTTCTATTAAGACGGGGGAATAAGAGGAACCTACTGTAGACATAGATCTGGCTGTTCGTCGTCTTCTTGTTGCCATTGCTATCTTCAAACTCACAGGTGTATCTTCCAGTGTCACTTAACTGAACATTTTTCAAGTTCAGTGTGCTTGAGGACTCGTCATTTTTCTCCACTACATGGCGATCTGTATCAACATCTTCTCCATCTTTTAGCCAATTGATATCTCCCTCTGTGTCGGCTGGATCACGCATTAAAACACAAGAAAATAAAAAAATAAAAAACATAGTTGTATTATGAGTGCAATTTGATTTTGAGGGGTCTAGTAAAAAAAGACTGCCAAATAAACGTATAATAAAACAATATAAAAGCACAATTATATAACAAAAAATCAAATCAAGTGGTATTTTGTAAAGATTTAATTGAAACTGTCTTCATCTTTTAACCATATAATCATTAGGAAAAAAAATCTCTTGGCTATTTTATGATGGTAAAAAGATTGAAAAGGTTTTCAAACTGTTGTTAAAAGCTAAACAAATTTATCCTGACACTTGAAAAAGAAGTGTCTTATACAGATATAGAAATTATAGAATGACTGACACCGATCAGATACTCAGAAGATTCATACAAAATTGGGATTTTCGATATATCATTGTTTACATAGTTTGACACGTTAGACAATAAAATTTTTTACAAATAATTTTAATGTCAAGAAAGAACTTTGGGGTCATTATTTGTGTTCATCAGACAGTTTTTACTAAAAACACACCGACCTTTGCACAAGAGCAGAATGCTGTTTCCCACCTGCACATCTGGGTCACCAAGGATAATATCTAATTTAGCATCTAAAATAAATGGAAACACATAACAACACTTATAAACAACGAATTTTACATTGTGCATGAGTTTTATTTGAGAAAAACACTGCAAATAAATATACATACATTGCTGAATCTATATATCTATATCTATATTCAATTCAATTCAGCTTTATTTGTATAGCGCTTTTACAATGTAGATTGTGTCAAAGCAGCTTCACATAAATCTATATACATATACATACATATATTTATATATACATATACATACATATATATATATACATATACATTTGTATATATATACACACACACACACACACACACACACACACACACACACACACACACACACAGTTATCAACATTTGAAGAGGAACACCAGCTTTCATCAAAGTTTTCCAACTAAAACACTATAACAACACCCGTTCTTCCTCACCCGACAATTTTAAAAAACATTTTTGATTTACTTTAAAATGTTGACTACTGTGTGTGTGTGTGTGTGTATACATATACATACAGTTGCAATCAGAATTATTAACCCCCTTGAATTATTCACCCACCTGTTTATTTTTTTCCCAATTTCAGTTTAACGAAAATAAGTTTTTTTTTAACACATTTATAAACATAATAGTTTTAATAACTCATTTCTAATAACCAATTTATTTTATATTTGCCATGTCTACAGTACATAATATTTGACTAGATATTTTCAAGACACTTCTATACAGCTTAAAGTGACATTTAAAGGCTTAACTAGGTTAATTAGGTTAACTAGGCAGGTTAGGGTAATAACCTAGGGTAGGCAAGTTATTGTATAACGATGGTTTGTTCTGTAGATTATCGAAAAAATATAGCTTAAAGTGGCTAATAATTTTGACCTTAAAATGGTGTTTAAAAAAATAAAACTGCTTTATTCTAGCTGAAATAAAACAAACAAGACTTTCTCCAGAAGAAAAAATATTATCAGACATACTGTGAAAATTTATAATATATAAATATATATATATACTTTTTTTTTTTTTGGTATTTTGTGTATCTGTGAAATTTTAGAATGATAAATAACTCATGATAGATATAACCAAAGTACCTTTTTAAATTCCATCACTTCCCCAAAACAGCTTTGCAATATTATCATTATTATTATTAGGATAATATTGGCCGACAGACGATGAGGAAAAGACTAAATGGACAATGGAAATGACCACCTTCCCTTACAAAGCATTATTTCTTCCTGTATAAGCGTTCAAAGATGTTCAGTTACAAAGAATGGAGCCACTACATAATGGTTTTCTTTACAAAGAGAAACTTTCCTCTCCCATTCACAGGAGAAAATTATACTGTAACAATATTTACCTGCATGTAATTCTTTTGCACTGTACTTGTTGAAATAAATATGTATCAAAAGCCATGCTCTGATATATGCCATGTCAGCATCTATAGCAATTTTAATTGAATGAATGAAATTAAAGAAGGTAAATAAATGCATTTCATTTAATGAATGAATTTAAAAGCCTTAAGTAGTTTAAAAGAATATGGCAAAGTATTTTGAAAAAGTAAATTAAAGTGAATACATATTTTATAATTAAATTAAATAAGGTTTTCATCATCATCGTCATTTACATATATACAGGTCTTATACAATTCTTGTAAAATCTCTGAGTAACAATAATGGTTTTATACCTGAAATAACATTAACATAAAATAAATAATACAATTAAAGCATTAATGCATTTACATTAATATCAATTGCAGTGATTTATTGAATAGCATATTAAATCAATTAATTATAAATTAAACTGCCTATCAAATCCCTCATTTCTCACACTTTTAGATTGCAAAATAAATCAAATAAAATAACATGCTCACCTATAAGTCCTGAGCATATCAGAAGAAGTCCACAGAGTAAAATCATATTTGCAGGCTTGTCTTGAACCACTCTTGAAGTCTGTCAGGCAGCGTGGTCTTCATCGTTTTATAGCAATGACAGAGACAGACAGGAACCGGTTTATCAGAAGGATCTGACCGCAAACTCCCACCTCCCGATGCTGCGTTGAGATGATGGAGCGCAAGGATGCGGAGACGAGCTCCAGCCGCCCAGACGCCAGCCAGCGGCCCTCCCCTGCTGAAGACCGGATGAAACGAGCCCTGCTGTCCCCTGACACTCGATGGAGGAAGATATTTATATCTTGGGATCTTGCATTTTATTGAAGATGATTAAAAACATGTGGAAGATAGAGAGCACATGCGCGCGCACACGTTACTTGACGAAAGAACAAATGAAATGACATCAGGGTCTGTTTTATTGCTATTAGATATTACGTATTGACAAATTTATTATTAACAATAATAAGTTTAACTTTTAAGACCAGTACCAGTAGGTTTCTTTGGGACACATTAACGTTACTTTGTGATGTAATGTTATTTTTTTATTTATATGCAAATACCAATAAAGACCCTCTGAACAAATTACGTTTCCATTAAAAATAAACAATTTCAATTATAACCATTACATCACTTGAACTTCTGTGATGGTTTCTAAGTTCACGCAACTTTATGCAAATTTTTGATTGAAAAAATTAAAAGTGGTGTTGTTACATTAAACCTAATGAATTGAGATGTGAATATTTTATGTCAATTTTAAATGACAAAAAACTAACTAAATTATGAAGTCCTCGTGTGCAGTGTAACGTTAGATCAAATGCACTGCTTAGCGCTTTTCATTTAACTTAACCGCTACCACACAAATATTTACTCGACGCTCCAGGTGATTGTAGTCACTGTTGTCTTGCTTTATGAGGAAATAAGCTCAAAAACTTTATCTTCAGAATGGGTTTGACTGTCATTTCTAGTATTTGAACGTACTTCATGAAGAAAATTCGTCTTACCTCTCTTGCATGCATGAACCATAAGGTAACGTTACACACACAGGCCTTTACGGCAGACTGTCAAAATAAAAGTCCGATTTGTAACTTTTAAAACCCATAACTTAAATACATTGGTTTCTTTGGGACATATTCCATTACTGTTTATTGTTCTTTCAGCATACACTAAAGACAAATAAAGACCATCGAGATAAATAAAATAAATATAATTTCTATTATAACCATTACTTCTATAACATAACTTATAAATTATGTGCTAGTTTCTAGTTTCCCTTGGGACAAATTAAGTTTACGTTAAAAATAAACAATTTCCGCCTAGAGGTTATCAAGTCGACATATAGTACGTTACTATTGTGCTCACGGTGACTTGAGTTCGATTCCCGGCTCGAGGTCCTTTGCCAATCCTTCCTCTATCTCTTCTCCCCACACTTTCCTGTCTGTAAAATCTCCACTGTCCTGTGACTGTCCTGTGAGGTAAAAACCCCTAAGTAAACAATTTTCATTATAACTATTACAAAACCACTAGAACTTCTGAGATGTAAACCTCCTTTTAGACCTTCATTTAAAAAAGTTGTAGACAGATTTAGAAAAAAGTCTAACGGAAGTGTATAAAAAAAGTCATTATGAAAAATTATGACAACCTCTTTAGCCATTTTTCATGTTTTAATCCTTGAAAAAATGATTACATGTTTGGGGGAGTGAGACTATTCAGAGACCAAATACAGAGACCAAAATAGTACATTTTGAAGCAACTGATTATGTAGGAAACAGCAGAGAAATGAACATATTTGCATGGATCAATAAAAGCATTTGCAACTTGTTCATAATAATCAACTGCTGTGAACAAGTGACACAATGATGATCTGAAAATTGAACAGGTAGTTTTGAGAATTTCAATTCTTATCTGAGAAATGGACCAAAGTGGCTGAGGAAAAACTGCAACAGAATTATATATATATATATATATAATCAATATACTTTGGACAGAATTCAGTGTAAAATGTAATTATTTCTAAAGATATACAGAATTATTCATAGAGTGTATAAACATGAATAGCAGCTGTTTTTTTTTTATCTAACAGCCACAAAACTACATGATGAATGCTGTGAGTTTGCGTCAGGATGATGATACATGAACCGACTTTTTGAGCAATGCTGTTGTACAGTATTACAGGTTGTGATGCTGCTTGGCTACTTTCATAAATTTAGCAACAAATATTTTATATAAAAATCGGAAATGTAAGTTAGTTTATAATAATATATCACTCACTATCATTAAACTTAGTATCTGATTTATACACGGTCACCACAGTAGAATAAACCACCAATTGTTCCAGCATATGTTTTACACAGTGGATACTCTTCTAGCTGCAACCCTGTACTGGGAAACACCCATACACACTCACATTCACACACACACACACACACACTTATACACAACCGCCATCTATACTGCATGTCTTTGGACTGTGGTTGAAACGGGTACTTTTTACTATTTTACATTTTTGAGGCCGTACTTCTTTACTTTTATGTAAGTACAGTACAAAAGTGTAGAAAGTACTTTTACTTTTACCAGAGTCATTTTAAACATGAGTATCTGTACTTCTACTTAAGTAACCGATGTGTGCACTTTTGCCATCTCTGCATTTTAGAAAGAAGGCGAAGCTTGTAGAAACTGTTTCCAACCACATTTAAAATATGCTTATCAAATTTTGAGTTCTGGTCTAATTTTACGCCCAGATTACGTACATGGGGTGATCTGAACTCCTTGAAGTTGCCTAACCTGGGGCGTTTATGGTCTGACAAATCATTGGGCCCAAATAAAATAACCTATTTTTTTCATATGCAAATAATATTTATCTTTAAGCAAATCTGCTCAGTTTCTTACCCTTCAGATGATCAGATCACATCTGAGAGGACTATAAAGCAATTTTGTTTTCTCACTCCAACACACTTGAAGCATAATACAAAACATTTCTGTTTTGTAAACATTTTGTAACTTTTTTTTCTAAAGCAAAACACAAATATATAATAATGTAGTCTAAACTGAAGTGTAATTTGATAAATGTAATCTAGCCTGAAATGGCACTAATGGAAGCTTGACAAAATAACTGCAGTGTTCAACAAACCCAGAATGAGACTAAATAATTCACAGTGCATTGCAATGATGAAAGTCTTCATCCTAAGACAAGCATGTCTTCCTAAAGGATGCAATGATTACAGTCACGTATCGTAGTAGTGTAATCAGCAGTAGAGATGCTTTATAAACAAACAAAGGGGTATTTTTGTCTTTGCCAGAACAATTCACGTCAGTAGTTTGACTCACCTGCTCTAATAAATTAGAGCTCAGCGTGTTTGCGTGCAGAAAACAATAGCTGTTGTTTTAGACCCGCAGGATGTGCCTTCGCGTAACACGACTCAATTTCTGTACATTTACACCAATTCATTTACTGAATTAATCAGTGCAAAACATCAAAGCATCAGCTTAAACATTCATGTTGACTTGTGTCAGCCAATTATAATAGGTCAGAATAGAACTACTGCTGACAAAAACACAAGTATTTATTATTTAGTATTAATTTACAATGTAAAACATATATCGTTTAAAATATAGCTGCACTATATACTTTTGAAACATACTGTACTTTTAGCACTAAATGCTATTTTGCATCTGCACAACTCTTTTTTTTTAACAAAAATGCATTTTTTTTATTTTTTAACTTAATATTTTTAGATCATAATTCTAATAATGTAATTGGGGCGATACAGTGGCGCAGTAGGTAGTGCTGTTGCCTCACAGCAAGGTCACTTGGTCGCTGGTTCGAACCTCAGCTCAGTTGGCATTTCTGTGTGGAGTTTGCATGTTCTCCCTGCGTTCGCGTGGGTTTCCTCTGGGTGCTCCGGTTTCCCCCACAGTCCAAAGACATGCGGTACAGGTGAATTGGGTAGGCTAAATTGTCCGTAGTGTATGAGTGTGTGTGTGTGTGTGTGTGTGTGTGTGTGTGTGTGTGTGTGTGGATGTTTCCCAGAGATGGGTTGCAGCTGGAAGGGCATCCGCTGCATAAAAATGTGCTGGATAAGTTGGTGGTTCATTGCGCTGTGGTGACCCCGGATTAATAAAGGGACTAAGCCGACAAGAAAATGAATGAATGTATGAATGATATGTAATTATATTGATTGTAATTTCTTTCTTAAAATAACTTTTGTATTAATATTATATATGCTAGGCACCTAGGGCCTGAGAGCAGTGCAATTTCGATTCTCTGTATGTCTCTGTATGTATATGGTTAAATTGACAATAAATCTGACTTACAATGATTTATAGTTTTATTTAAAAACCTTACATGTTTTCTGTTAAACAAGGCAGTTTGTACCGTTTTTCAAAATATTTGCAAAATATTCAATAGCCCCACAAAAAAAATATGAAGTAATTATGTTTTAGGGATAAAATTAATGAATAATTAATACATTTAAATAACATTACATCATTACAATTAAATATTAAATTCACATGAACATTAAATAGTTTAAACAATTACATTTAAATTAAAGGTTTATGACAGATTTTGGGGTTTTATATATATAAATATGGCTCAGTGTTTAGCATTGTCGTCTCACAACAATAAGGTTGCTGTTTGGAGTCACAGCTGGGTCAGCTGGCATTTCTGGGAGGAGTTTGCATGTTCTCCCCATGTTGGCGTGGGTTTCCTCCGGGTGCTCCGGTTTTCCCCACAATCCAAAGACATGTGCTGTAGGTGAATTGGATGAACTAAACTGGCTGTAGTGTATGATTGCTTCCCAGCAGTTGGTTGTGCCTTCAAGGGTATCCGCAGAGTAAAACATATGCTGGATAAGTTGGTGGTTCATTCTGCTGTGGCGACCTATTAAATAGAGACCAAGCCGAAGGAAAATGAATGAATGAATTATTAAAAATAATGATTTTATAATATGATTAGATGGATGGATAGATGGATGGATGGAAATTATATATATATATATATATATATATATATATCACATATATATATTAGTGCTGTCAAACAGTTAATCATGGTTATATCGCATACAAAATAATATTTATTTACAAAATATAAGTGCATACTATATAGACAGAAATTTATGGACGGCTTTAATGTATTAAATATACAATACTAATTCTGTAGCAATATTAATATAGAAGTATATGTCTTTAGCACAGTGTGTGTGTATTTCTACATAAATATACAGAATACACGTATACTCACCAGCCACTTTATTAGGTACACTTGTCCAACTGCTTGTTAACGCAAATTTCTAATCAGCCAATCATATGGCAGCAACTCAATGCATTTAGAGATGTAGATATGGACAAGAAGATCTGCAGCAGTCCAAGC